TGCTGTGTGTGTGTGTGTGTGTGTGTGTGTGTGTGTGTGTGTCTTGTCAGCTGTATTTGACCTGGGGTTCAGGGTTCTATTCATGCTGAGTCTGAAAGATTCACAGCAATGCTATGAGGGTCTTACATCATGTGTAACAGACCCCCACATGCTTGGCAAACTAATTAAAATTTAAAAAAAACTTCACAGAAAACTTGCACTTCTATATACGCTTCACTTCAAAAAGGATTGTTTGATAAATAGAAAGTCTAAAAGAACAGCATTTATTTGAAATGTATTTCTTTTGTAATAATGTAAAAGTCTTTACAGTCAATTTTGATCAATTGAATGCATCCTTGCTAAATACAAGTATACATTAGTTTGAAAAAAATAAGAATTGCGGACTTTTGAACAGTAGTGTCTAGAAATGGATGAAAATAGAATTGATGTTTTGTATCAGTCTGGTTGTGTAGCAGGCCCTGGAATGCTGTTGGGTTACGGATGGTGTTTTTAGGTCTTCTCTAAGTACATCTGGACCCTTTGACTGAGATCTTCAGATCTTATGTCAGTGTGAGGTCTTACCCGTTTGCTGTTTGTCATAGCAATGCCTAACAGTACTCTCAACCTCAAGTCTTCTGTGTACCTTTAAGTCTTGATGGTGGCACAACAGTGTCATAGAGTGTCAATTTCTGTCTCTTTGTCTCTTTCCATCTGATTGAAGATGGTCTGGTCCATACTGAGATACACAAATCTGTAGAAAAAAAGAATAGGTCCTAGTAATTTTCTACCAGGACAGGAGCGTTAAATTTACGGACATTTCCTTAAATCTTAAAACACAACACAATGCAATGCATAATTCAAAATATTGGTAAAACACCTGTGAAAAATCAATAAAGAAAATTCCTTCAATACGGAAAAGTCCTTCATATTAACACCATACATTGTGCCCTATTTTTACAGACATTTCTTAGAGTATAAGCTCCTTCCTTGAGAGGCCACTGAATACTTCATTCAAGCAGTATAATGCAAATGCATCGCTTAGAAAGGCCAGATCCTCAACATTCTGTCATATTTTATGCATTTATAGCCATCAGACTGGCATACTTGACATTCATTAGATTGTGCTTACTGCATTGCAAGATGTGGCACAAAACCTTGAGATCAGTAAAATATTTTAAAGAATATATTATATATATATTATATATATATTTTTTCAGCTAGTATGCATTTAGACTATATACTACTTGCATCTATTCAGCTAAGCTAGAGTAGATAATGTTCACTTGTTAGTGTGTTAGTGCTTGTATGTTCCTGTTTTTGTCCTTTAATGAGCAGGACTGCTCGTTCTCTGATGCAAGACAGTACAAAGGTTCTGTTGTGCATCTCCGTTTTTTGTCTGCCAGTCTTGATCCCAAGCAGGCCTGAGCTCTAGAGACAGAGAGCCAGTCAGAGCTATGCAGTACACAGTCTGTTCAAGCATGTGTCCTAATCAGATGGCATGAAATGAGTGTAGTGAGTCATACGATTGCTCTTTGTGTCTTTTCCCTGTTAGTGTCATTTTCTTGGTTGATTATTTATTGACCAGTAGAACGATGTCTTGATTAAAAAGCTATTAAATGAGTTTGATCTCGCCTCTTTAGTCCCAGTGTTGACACAGCAATTTACCAGATAACTTGATTTTTAAATCTGTTTACAACGACTGATTCAGATCATGTGCAGGTTGAACTGTGTTGCATGGTTACTGATTTGATCGAGTCGATTTGTTGTTGATTCACCATTGCTCTTCAATAGGTTGTGTCTCTGGAATGCCTGGCTCAGGATGCAGCCGCTGAGCAGTCCACTCCTTTCAGGAGCCAAGGGGAGGCGTGATTGGCCGCTGGCCTTATCTGGGTGGAGCTGTAGGAGGGATATTACTTATTCATTGGCACGTTCTGCAAGGCCCCTCCCACCTCACTGACGCTCTGCCCTTGGTAAGTCAACTAAAAGCATGCACTATGATACTGGTAACCAAGTGATTGTTTAGCAGGCTAGAACTTTTGTCAAAGTTTGATAGTCCTAATGTTAAAGGGGTCATATGATGTTGCTAAAAAGAACATTAACAGTGTTGTAAATACAACTTAACCACTGATTTCTAGTCGTGTCCTCTTTTGGAAGACCAAACAAAGTAGTTTTGCTTTCACAACGAAATGCACAGCGACTCCACAACATGGCGGCAGCGGCGGCAACAACAATACTACAGGGAGAATCAAAGTTACGCCTTCTTTCTTTGCGTGAACATTTGGGCGGCGTTATGCAAATCTTCCCACATCGTGACGTAAATATGTGGGGGCGTGTTAGAACGAGCCGTTTTAGGTAGGTGTGTCTGACTCTTAACTTTTATAAAGAATATCTCTTTGGATTTGAGACTTTAGTCTTTGCAACTTTCCAGATATTCTTTATGCACCAAGAGCTTGTAACACTCCAAAGAGAAAAGAAAAATTGAAATAGCATCATATGACCCCATTAAATTTAACATTGTCTGTTGAGTGCAACACAGAAATTTACAAGTTTATGTACAAAATTTTGATTAGATTTTTGTTTAATGTAACTGTTTACAACATTATATTGGTGTAATATAGTTAGAAATAATAAGAAATGCTTCTTGGGCCCCAGATCAGCATATTAGAATGATTTCTGAGGAATTATGATAATGCAAGTAATGTTACTTGCCATCCAGATGAATTAATTACATTTAAAAAAATGTTTTTAATTAAAAACAGTCTTTGTAAATAGTAATGTTTCACAATATTACTGTTTTTACTGTATTTTTCATCAAATAAATGCAGCCTTAGTGAGGAGGCTTCTTTCAAAAACATTTAAACATCAAGTTGATTATCTCTCTGACATTTTCTTTCTCTCTTTTTTCGTCAGGCCCCTGTTAGCTGCCTGTGTATCTGGGAATGCTGTTGTTGCATCAGAGGGGCAGTGTTGGAGTTGGCCGAACTCGGGGGCTAAGGTCAGGGTCAAGATTCAAGGGTCAACACAACTCAGAAGCTGCAGGGGTGGATGTGGAAGGACCTGAAGCCAAGCTGCAGGCACCAACAGGCATGTAGGTTAGGAAAATGGTCATGCACACACTTATTCTGTATTTATTCTGACACTTTCCTGCTCCAGTTTACAACAGTGATGCTCCCTCAGTGCAGAATCGTCTGTGCCACAGCAAAATAAATCATATTTTACCTGAATTTTGAATGTGAGTTTGCTATTTGAATCGAATGTGATTGAGATAAAAAGTCAGTGTGCCAGGAAATAATTGCAAGAATGTGTTTTTGTTAAGTCGTCTTTGCAGGCTACTTGCAAAAACAAACATACAAATGCTTTCAGTGCCGTTCGATTCACAAATGATGCATATAAGCCAGTTCTTCTTTTTGGCGGATCAATAATGTACTGCAAAACCAGTGTAGTCTGATTCCCAACTGAATGACTCTTATGAGCCAGTTCTTTTTACAAAATAAAGAACATTTTGTCTCATTTTATAAGGAGTGAATGTTAGTGAACCAAAACATGTAATGCAAATAGTATATAGTCTGATTCCTGAATTAATGAACCGTTTTTTAATGAACTTTTCCAAAAGACGAGTTCCCGATTTGAACCTGACAAATCCTTTACTGAACTGAATCAATTGGAGAGGTTACTAAATCGAGATTTGTCTTGCATACTAATACAAGTTGTCATATGTTTACATGATGTTTATTGTATTTCATCATATGTGTATTATGTATGAGCTTTATTGATGTCCATATCAAAATAAAGCAAATTTTGTCTAAAATGTTTTGTTAAAGATGCACATTTGAAATAGTGTTCATTGTTACTATTCTGCCGTGTAATCTTTATTATGCGTTTCATGTCAGTTTGCTTATACTTTGTTTTACTTCAGAAGCTGTATGCACTGTGGAAATCAGCTTGTTCTAACTCCACACCTGACCCCTGGAAACTAAAGCCTTTCATCTATGAGACGGGAAGCTTACTTTCACTTCCACAGCCTTGTTGCACTTGTTCAGACATCCTAGAACTCTCTGGAGCTAGTGTCTTTATTATTTAACACTGCACAACTTCCCCTGAAACAATCACCCAGCACAAACAAAGTCACTATGCGTCACATCCACGTGGAACTGGCTCGTAAAGAGCCGGCCGTTGAGCTTCCAGCCCAGGACGGGGATCTACCTCTGCCTAGCACTCGGAGCGAGAGCCCTGAATCTGAAGTACGGCGAGCCGTTCCCAGACCATTTGGAGAAGAAGAGATCAGGCTACAGAAGGTCTACCAGCTATCCATCCTCTCCCAAAGAGGTGGTTTCGGGGAAAGTCAAGAGACTCTTCGGCCTGTCCGAGTAGGTATGAAACGTAGCCTGAAGGGGATGCCGGTTCCTGTCGCCCATAAGCGTCTTTTCCAACAGGATGAGGATGACGATGATGATGAGTCCGATGGGGAGGTGTTGTGTGGCTCTGGGGTGGAACCACTTTTTTCCAACTCGCTCCTTGAGCACAGAGACTCAGAAATCCCTAGGTCGCCTCCCCTTTCCCCTTCGCATCCACTGATTCCTGGTCGCCGGCCAGCCCAGCACAACCACGACAGGCCCGTCCCGGATGCCTTCGCCCCGCTGTCCCCAAAATCTCCAAAATCTCCCCCTATGGTGGACCCACAGGGCCCTCACTCCACCAGGGGCCACTGTGAGGGAAGTCCTCCCACCCTTACTCCCAGAACCGAGGCCTCCACAGCAGGAAACATCCCGGCTGGCTCCAGCGATGAGCCAAGGGACGAAGGCCATAACTCTGTTGATGTCAAGGGCTTGTTGTGCGCCACAGAGAGCAGTTGGGCGCCTGTCCCGTTTTCAACACCAGCTGAAGCTGTCGAATGGGGGACAACTTTTGAATCTTCTCCACCACCGGCAGAGACGAAGACCTCCTCCTCTAACAGACTGAGCTCTCTTGAGAAAACACCAGTGGAAGCAAATGGCCTGGTATCAGGATCATCCAATTCCTGTCCAGTGAAGAAAAGACTTCTCTCCTCCAGTGATACAGGAGAGTCCTGCTCAGAGGATGAGGGTCCATCTACATCAAAACGCAGTCGGCTGGCACTGTTGGCACCGGGGCTCGGATTAGCATCCTGTCGCAGCACTGATGCCAAGGGTGCACCCTTCTGGAACCATCTACTGCCCTCAGCAAGAGAGCACACCAAGGTGAAACGCAAAGAAAGTAGAAATGAAACCGAAGGCCCTTTCACATGACTTAACAATGCAGCTAGAGATACTGTACAAACTAACATTTTAACAGCCAGCCTGGATCATGTGCACCCCATGAACCAGTTATATAAATAATACCCTTACAATGAGCGAATTAGGAGTGAGTACCACGCATTTTTTTTTTTTCATAGCAGACTTCATATTTACACTTCTGTTCAAAAGTTTCGGGTACAGTAAGGATATTTATCGTGCGGCAGACATATTGAAGGTCATTCTGCAAAGCACTCTAATTTGCTTTTCATTCACCATACTGTGGCCTCTCCTCCATTGACTTCAAACAAAACAGCCTCTGATCTCCCATTTGGGATCCTGCCACATAATGCATTTTTGAGCTAACCTTGAAGACTCCCCCTGGGGGAGGGGGTCTGGTAATGCAACTCTCAAAGTCTTCAACTCAACAAGATGGAAAACAAAATGTTTTTAGAGAGTGAAATTATATTATGCACATTTGTATTATTTTAATACGCATTAGAAATTATCTTTTGCAATGCGTTTCACATAAAGATCAAAGCGGCATGTGAGAGATGCATTGAATGTGAGTCATGTGAAAGGGCCTTAATTCAGGGGTAAAAACATGCTAGATTTTTCCACATTACAAGTGGAAATGGGAAGGTGCTGATTATTTTAAGAAGAAGCCTTTTTTTTTTTTTTTTGGTAATGTTTAAGTGTGAAGGGGGTGGAGATAGTCTCCCATTACTGACAGAGTCATCATTAAAGGTCGGGTGAATAGTCAGAATGAAAAAAGACATATTGGGAGTGAGAGATTTTTAGAATATGCATGCTTAATTTTTCCGTTGCAGCACAATAAGCAGTGGGACTCCAGAACAAAGCCCATTGACGGAGCCATTGTTCAAGAGGTGAGACCTGCCTCACCTGACCTAACAAATACACACACACAGGTTCTGGCCAAATTCAGTTCCAGAATGAGGGAATTTGGGGTGAGAGGGGTTACACGGACTACAGTGGCTCATATGCTGTCACTTTCATCACGCCGGTGTCAGTGCTCAAAGGCTGAGCTCAGGACTTGAAGAAAACCCAAGAAGGGAAGAATAAAAGAGAAAGTGAAGGACAGAGAAATGATCATAGAAACAGGCCAACGAAGAGGAAAGAGCAAATATAGGTTTAGAATAGAGAAACAAAGAGATGAATAGACTGAAATAAAGGTTCAAACTAGCTGAAAATGTACAAGTTTGAAACCCATTCTATAGTTAAGTCTAGCTGATATTTAATAACTTATCAGAATGATACTATGGACTACTGTGAGATGTGTGATATTGCAGCCACATCTTCATCTGTAAGTACTTCTTAATCTCAACTGAAGTTTGAAAATTTGAAATTGACTTCAGATTGTTCCGCATTCTAACTCTGATGTCATAATGGGCCTTCTTTTCATTCTTTTGAATGATTTTTCCCAATCATTCAAACGCTTGTATTTGACTTATTGTCATTTCCATTAAGTCGATTAAAATCTACTTTTAACATTTATCAGCAGCCTGGTTTTACATGATCATGAAATGAACCTTAACTTCATTTCGAAGCTATTTACTGACGTAAGACTTTTTTCTTAAAAAAGACTATTGGAATAAAACAGTATTAGTTGTAACATCTTTTTAAAACTTCATTTTTCAGACTGCTACAGACTGTTCACGATCCGGGAGAAGGCTCAAAGTGGGGAGTCGACTCAAATCGTAAGTCATCTTTTTTCCTTCAAATTATGTTGTATTAATATATAAGAATGTGTGTTTATTACTTTTTTTGTTTTAATAGTCGACGGTTACGCAGTGGACGCCGAACAGACACCAGTCGCTCCTGTAGTCCAATCTCCTCTTTATCCTCCATTAGCAGACCTCTTCTTGGCAACTTTGAGGTACACAAGTCTAAGCCATGATGAAATCAAATACTAAATTAAGATAGATTAACACACAGCGCCTGTTTTATATACATTTGTATACTGTTTGTCATTGAAGCCAATAAAACCATGGTATGCAAAGTAAAAAAGAGGCTAAAAGACTGAAAGCTGGAATAGATTTCACAACTTAAGCCCTAATTCGCAGTCTGGAGGAATCCATGCTATTTGCTGAAAATCAGAGGAAGTCTGCAGATTTTGAGCAGTCAGAAAATCTCATAGTGAATTGTGGGCACAGACTGTAGTTTTTATTTATTTAGCTTTTATCTATGGGCCAGATTTACTAACAGTTTGCGCCAGTGCAAACCCTACTGTCAGGATTTACTTAAGAAACGCAGTGAAACTTTAGCGATGACAAGGCGTGGCATACACATTTGTGGGAATTTCCCTTTCAGATGCAACATTTATGGGAGTGCATATTTAAAGAAATCATGCAAGGTGATTTACCAAGGTTTGGTTGTCATGTTACTGATACTTAAAAAAATTCATGTCTTAACCCACTTATGATGCCCAGTTTTCCTCTGTAACAATATATGAAGTCTGCAGTTGTATGAAGTTGTATTAAAAGTTTATTCCAGCCTTAATCTACAGTCAGTGACTAATGTTTTGATGCATTTCTGATTGGTTGTTGTGTGCATCTGTCTGCAGGAGTCGATTCTGAAGGGTCGTTTTACTCCATCTGGGCGGATAGAGGGCTTCACAGCAGAGATCGGTGCTAGCGGCTCCTATTGCCCGCAGCATGCCACCTTACCTGTGCAAGTGACTTATTATGACACCTCAGAGCACAGCGCCCCTTCTCCCTTCCTGGTATATGTTTTCTTTCTCAGTAATTTTTCTAAATTTGTTTTGAGATTTCCTTTTTTTTTTTTTTTTACCTTCCTTGACATGTAAATTCTCTATTGTAAAATGCATATTAACAGTTATATTTCTTTGCAATGTTTAGGGGGTGATCTTGCTAGAACCACTTGGAAAAAAAGGATACAGCGTACCCAAAGCAGGGACCATTCAAGTGGTGGGCTCTCTTTCTATTTCTTTCCATATTTATGTGTTTTTTTTTTTTATTGATATTTATTTTGAGTACTTTGTACTATATATTTTCTAAATGTTATAACTTTTTTTAAATCCTATGTTTTTTTTGTTTGTTTTTTTTTAAGTATTTTATTCATTTGATTGTGTTTTTGTTTTTTTGCAGACCTTATTTAACCCCAATAAGACTGTGGTTAAAATGTTTTTGGTGACATATAATTTTGGGGACATGCCCGTCAATCACATGACCTTCTTGCGCCATCGTATCTTCCTGGTGCCTGTGGATGAGGCGGAGGGGTCAGGGGAGGGGCAGGAGGGCTCACTTTCTGACAGGAAGAAGATTCTCTGCTACTTGATACACCTCAGGTAAACTTTTACAAAATGTACAACATCTGTTCTACAAAATTTATAAATACAAAATACATAAGATTTTTTTTTTTTTTTTTTGAAGAAGCCTCTTATGCTCACCAAAGTTGTAATTATTTGATCAGAAATATAGTATAAACAGTAAAAAGTAATATTGTGAAACATTATTGCTGTTTAAAATAAGAGTTTTCTATTTTAAAGGGTTAGTTCACCCAAAAATTCTGTCATTAATTACTCACCCTCGTGTTGTTCCAAACCCGTAAGACCTTCGTTCATCTTCGGAACACAATTTAAGATATTTTTGATGAAATCTGAGGGCTCTCTGACCCTCCCATAGACAGCAAGGTAACTACCACGTTCAAGGTCCAGAAAAGTACCAAGATGATCGACAAAGTAGTCCATGTGACATCAGTGGTTCAACTGTAAAGTTACGAAGCTACGAGAATACTTGCGCAAAGAAAACAAAAATCACTACTTTATTCCACATTTTCGTCTCTACTGCGTCACTTGTGGACGACAGTATCATGACGCGAGATACTGGAATAAAGTCGTTATTTTTGTTTTCTTTGCGCAAGTATTCTCGTAGCTTCGTAACTTTACAGTTGAACCACTGATGTCACACGGACTACTTTGTCGATCATCTTGGTACTTTTCTGGACCTTGAACGTGGTAGTTACCTTGCTGTCTATGGGAGGGTCAGAGAGCCCTCAGATTTCATCAAAAATATCTTAAATTGTGTTCGGAAGATGAACGAAGGTCTTACGGGTTTGGAACAACACGAGGGTGAGTAATTAATGACAGAATTTCATTTTTGGGTGAACTAACCCTTTAATATTTTTTTTTAAATCTAATTTATTCCTCTGATGGCAAAGCTGAATTTTCAGCAGCCATTACTCCAGTCTTGAGTATCACAGAATCTTTTAGAAATCATTCTAATATACTTATTTGGTGCTCAAGAAACATTTCTTTGGGAAAACTGATTTTTCAGGATTCTTTGATGAACAGAAAGTTCACAAGAACAGCATTAATTTGATTGATTTTGTCTTTAGTTACACTTTTGATCAATGTTTTGTTGTTGTTGTTGTTAATTTAGAAGAAATAAATGGGACAGCAACACTTGAACACCAGTATGACCATGAACGTATATATAATGGGTGCAAACTGTTGTACTACCTCTAATAGTTGCAAATTGATCACACTTTTAACTTTCTCTTAGTTATACTTTTAATTCTATAGCTCCAAGTGTGTATTTTTAGGCTAGTTTGCAACCAACTTAAAAGACTAGATAACTATGTTTAATATACTGTATATTTAATATATTAGCATAAAAGTACTTCTCCTCTAAGTGGTATATTCAAAATGGAAGCAATGAAGCCTAATAAACCTGTTTTTCCTCTCCTCTTTGTTTGCATATCTCAGATTCCAGAGTTCCAAATCTGGGAAAATCTACTTGCACAATGATATCCGGCTGCTATTCTCCCGCAAGTCCATCGAGGTGGACACTGGGATTCCTTACGAGCTGAAATCTTTCACCGAGGTGCCAAGAAACCCCAAATACTCCCCCAGAGTGTGAGATCGGGATGCCCTGCAGCAGTGGGGCAGAAGGACTGCATTAATAAAGATCGCAAGACAAGAGACCCCTATACACTTGAACACAGACACACTTGCACTCATACATGCATACGCAGACAGATGTATGTACATACACACAGATATCACAACCTCTTGAGGGCCAGCTCTAGAACTGAGTGTGTAACATGCATGCCTTGTGACTTAATTGAGTTTTCCTCTAGTGCCGTTAAACAGTTAAGCTTTGCCCTTCACTCTGCCTGCACCTGCCCATTGTGGACCAGTTGTAACCATGCCCACCAACCCGCTCTATTCTAAAATGCTGGTAACCATCAGTAGATACGGACTTCCTCGATCAAAGAGGACTGAGTGGATGTACAAAGAGGTGTTGAATGAGACCAACAAATGGAAAAAGAGACTTCTGAGGACCAGATTGGAGTTTCAAGAATGGACACCACCTGTAACTTGCCTATTGGAGGGGATAAGAAAGTTCTAGAAAGAAAGAGACCAGTGTAACAGAGGACTGAAAGGACATCCATTCAGTATCGGCATTGTATTCGTAAAGCATGGGGCGTAAACGGGAGAATAGCTCATTATTTTGGACGGGCAGTTTGGAGGACATTGCTGTTCCAACTTCTTCTTCTGAACAGTCCGACATCAGAGCAGAAAACAAACTGTAGTATTTATGTTCGCAAATGTCTTAAAAAAAAGCAATATGCTGCACAACTAGAGTGATTTCATTTTTGTGGAGGTAGTAGGTGCCCGCTCTATTAGGATGGAGGGAAAAGATTGCCACGTGAGTGATGGAGGGAACGGGAGGGAATTTGGGGTATTTAAAATCAGAAAATGTTGTTTATGTATATTTTAAAAACGGTTTAAACTCTGCAACTTGCGGGTAAAACAAGTGTTTGACCGTAATTTGCCAAGGGATACTTGAGAAGCAATGCCAAGGTTTGCTCCTGTATGTTTTGTGTATGATCAATAAAATACATTCACTTTCAACATATTAAAAACAAGCTTGTGTAGATTAAATAAAAACACCTCTATAGTGTTTCATGCCATGAGGGCTCAACCACAGCCCCCTAAGAAATTGGCAGACACAATCTAGCTTTTTGGGCTTTGGCATGAAGGAAATCTGCTGATCGGAACAGCAATAGCAATAAAATCTCAGACTGTCTTGAAAATAGTGTACACCTTAAAATGTCACTTTCCCCCCACTGAGTTATTTAAAGATGATTGGCATCAGGCAATATGATTCAACAGCATGAAATCAGATTTACCCGAGTATTTGAGCTTTGCACAAATGGTGGTATAGTTAGCAGGGGTCGTATTATTGTGATACTGTCACTGTACTGATTTGCTGTTGAGATACTAGAAAATACTTTAGGATAATAAAAAGAACAGATTTCATCTCTGCCATTCTATGCTGAGGTTAATGCACAGGTTCTTCTTCAGTTCTCTTAACCCTCAGCCGTCCCTCGGGTCATTTTGACCCAAAACGTTTTTTCAAAAATATTCTAAAAATCGTGTGTTGATCGTACCGGTCCAAGATGTCTTTACTTTTGTCACACTTGCACCGGGAATACACAAAAAAAATTTGAGTGGATTCGAGGAGTTTAAATGGGTGCAATAAAAAAAGTAACAAAAGTGTCATTTTGACCCGCATAGGAATGAATGGAATTTACGACAAAACTGCATTTTTCATTACATTTGATTTTTTTTAATACACAAAATCTGAGACAATCCAGTAAAGATTTATACCCAAACGAAGGGCTGAGACTACAGAATATCCCCAATGCAGAAAAAACTCCCATACACACACACAAACACACACGTGGTACACACACTCATAGAACACATTGTAATATTTTTCATGTTTCTGCTGGGATATGACTGTCATCTTTCCATTTTTTTTTTTACTTTACACAGTTAGATTTGAGTGATGTGGTGGAGACCAATGAGTTTATATCATATTTATATTTTTAAAAATATATATTTATTTCATATTTATGAATTTGTATGAATATGCATATGTTTAGGTTATAATTCAGTTTAAAAAAATGTTTTTTTTACAAAATTTGGATTTTGTAATGTTTCAATATATATTTCAATCCATAAACAACCAAATTGAAGCCTTAAGATTATCTAATTTCTCATGTTTCACTTGTTTTGCTCATTTAAAAAATCTCCATGGGGTTCTATAGGCCCCTCTAGTGGCTGTAACCATAAAATGCAAGTTTATGTAATTTTTCCCCACCAGATGGCATCAGCGACACTCAGTGACTCGATTCCAAGGCCATCTGTTGGTTTTTGATGAAACAGGACTGAAATTGTCTTTCTTTGTTTTGTTTTTTTTGGTGAAATAATGTACAAAAACTGCTTATTTGCTTATGTTTTCTTAAAAATATCCAGAATAAAAGGTAAATATGATAAAAATCACCAAAAAATAATAGAAAAACCTACATAAAAAATTAGAAAAAAATATATTAAAATTTTCCAATATAAGCTTTCTGCACCAAAAATAAAATCAGTGTCATTTTTGGCCTTTGGGTCATTTTGGCCCGCGAGGGACACTTTTGTTATAGGTTCGGGAGGGACGGATGAGGGTAAAGCACTCACTGGTTGGCTCTTCTCTGTGGTTCCAAGGTATTATGTTTGCACACAACCTGAAGGGAAATAATCACATAGGATTCAGTCTTCAATTTCTTGAGATTTTTGTCTTTCACTATGTTTCACATAACTTTCCCAGAGTATGCAGAATGCAATTGTTTATTCTTGTTTTATGGTGCATCACGTAGTATGTCAGCCAACTTAAGTAAAAACAAACCTTGAGTTAGATGCCATGCAAGCTCATTGATTGATTTTGGTTATTTTAAACTTAGTAATTAGTGGCAAACAAAAGACACCTTTATTGTGTTTCTCTTGTCATGTAAATTCAAACAATTACAGCATTGCTTTCTAATTATTATGCACAGTTTTTGTTACCTTGTATTAAGTTTTTAAACTAAAATATTGTCACACTGCAGCATTTTTACATAAAAAAACGTGCATACTTCTTTATGCACCAAGAGCTTGTAACACTCCAAAGAGAAAGGAAAACTTGAAATCGCATCATATGACCCTTTTAAACATTCATTTAAAAATTAAAATAAACAATAAACGTTAATAAATATATATTTGTTGGCTACCATTAAATCCAACACAGGAAAGGCCACAATACAAACTTAAAATGTGCACGACAGGTCTGCTTCTATTCTGCAGAAAAGTTCATTTTGGTTACTTGCCAGAACCCACATTTGCTTGACCCCGGCCCTACAAGACATTGTTGTAAACATTGTGCATCCCTGTTCAAGTGAAAGTTAAATGAATTGCTGTAACTGCAATATAACTGCAACACTAGTTTAAAGCAATCAAATAATAGTTGTTTCCACTAAATATAAAAACTAACACTCTTAAGTCTGAACTGCTTTATAGCAAGAAGTTTTGGTTGGGAAGATATATATACATTATTTCATTACATTACATTATAGGTTAATATACTTGGGAACAGTGTTGGGGGTAACGCATTACAAGTAAGACATCAGATTACTTTTTTCAAGTAACTAGTAAAGTAACGCATTACTTTTTCTGACCTTCGATGATCCAGTTCAACCAAACTAATAAGCACAAATTACTCTAGACAAACATTTGTGTCTTTGTTTATTGCTGAAGTGTGTTGAAATTTCTTCTTCTGCATTCTACTGTACGGACGTAAATTTACTTTCCCTTCAGCCTGAGGCTTATTCATTTCACGTTTGGTGTGAAAAGGCTTTTATATTTGCCAAAAATAGAATTTTTTTATTTTAAAAACAAATAAGCAAGCCCTGTCCAGATTTAAAAAGTAACGCAAAAGTAACGTAACGCATTACTTTCCATAAAAAAGTAACTAAGTAACGTAATTAGTTACTTTTTTAATGGAGTAACGCAATATTGTAATGCATTACTTTTAAAAGTAACTTTCCCCAACACTGCTTGGGAATATATTGAATTCGGCAATTCTTGCAGCAGTGGGCATTCTTCTGCATTCATACAATAGAGCCAGTTGAGTAGCTACATCATACAAATTGTCAGAGCTCTGAGATGAACATGCTGAAGATTCAGTCTTCTAGCTAACAGCGCATTGCAGGGCTCTAAAATGCATTTTACATGCAGGTGCTCTACAGAGGACCATACAACTTTACAGAGAGTGAGTCAAATGCTCAGATGTTGAATGCAATGTTGGTGGGAATTCTTCTTAAGAATGCCAAGAAAATTAAACCATATGTACTTGATGCACTGATAAAGAAACAAACATAAAAGCAACATCTGTTTAGCACAGCTGGAGCTTTAATAATCCCGCAGAACGTGCGCTGACGTCACCGCCTCTCTCCTCCGGTTAGGCGCGCGCGAAAGTAGCGGAGTGAAATCTCACGCGCTGACGCTGATCAAACCGCACAGAAACTCTCCATAATCTTCAAACATCTGCAAAAACTATGGCGGACCCAAAGGTAAGAGTACCACCACCTTCATCGTCTGACCCTTTCGGATCGCGACAGACGGTTATTTTGAGTGTTTCGTTGGCGATAAATGTTTTATGAGGGTCTTATTTAACAGAGTGTGAAAAGGCAGGTGTTTTTTTCCAATTCCTGCCTGGCGCGCTTGAATATTAGACGTTAAAAATGCACTTTTCCACGTTCTATTCTTAATACTTGTATTATTGTTGTTAGTTACTATACCCTGTCAAAGTTGTTTGTTTATTTAAAATCACGCTACATTGTCAGCAGCAGCTGTAACGTCCTGCAATTCATAATTGTACGCGTATTTGTGTTCGTCACTTCCTTAAACATAACGGACAATCAAGTATTTGTGCTTTTATTGACGTAATAAAAATATCCACGCCAAGTTCCAGGTAAACACAGCTCGTAATTTTAATAGAAATGTAACATGCTAAGACCATGTTAGCCTGTGTGTGCGTTAGCATCGTTAACCTGCAGCACATGTGAAGTTCAAAGCCGGTTTATTAACACCCTTCCGGGTTAATTTGCGTCTTTTAACTGTATTTGCTCAATGTTGTCGAAACTGTGGGGTGAGATGGAGATGTAAACACTTAAACGCATTTAGGCCTCATTAGCTTCTGTTAGCTTGGATGCTAACTGACTCTCCACTTTTGAGAACCCGATGTAACTCGCACCTTCAGACGTAAACATCCGATATCTGTGCTTGAGTGAAGTCGGTTGTTTAGCTAAATAAACTGTTTCGTAATTTTAAAACGCTGACTGAGCAAAACGTAACTAAAAGTGGTTGAACCAGTTCAAAGCGTCACATGTGTAGTAGGAGATCTGCTGCATTTGAATAATGCAAGCTACAAGGCCTTCATGGATGTTAGACCGGTGATTAGTGGATAGCAAGTGCATGAATTCCCCAGCATCACAGCATGTGAGTTTAAGTTCACGGCTCAGCGCCGGTGGGTGTAAGTTTGGTTGCAGCAGCAGCACATTCAGAGACAATAGGCCAAACTCCAGAGAATGATCCCTCCAAATCCCACAGCCTTTCACTCCACTGATCTGATGAGTAATGTGGAAGCGGGATCCCTACAGACGGGATCAGGACATTGTGAATCTCAGCAGAACAAATGCTGTAGCAAATGTGTCATGCATCTGAGCCTGGATCATTTTCCAATTGCATAAGACATTAGGTTGGCCTGTTTTATTGTTGATTTTTAAAGTTGGATTTACAAAACTGCCGTTATAATTTCCCCCTCCAGGAGGCACAAGATGATCATGATGCATCCACAGACAATGTAGAGGACACCAACCATGACCCTCATTTTGAACCCATTGTCTCGCTCCCCGAGCAGGATATCAAGACCCTAGAGGAAGATGAGGAAGAACTTTTCAAGATGTAAGTCACTATATTTGCTTATTTGGGTGATATGGCAAAAAATATCTTTTCAAGCAGGATCATGTTCCACAATCTTATTGTGATTCTTTTCCATGTTGGATTTAAGACTATTTTAAAAGTTACTGAGGAGTAAAAACTAGTAGCCTTACAGATAAGTAGAGCGTTATTGAAGACAAGTAGGGCTGCAACTAACGATTATTTTGATAATCGATTAGTTGGTCGATTATTTTTTCGATTAATCACACTTCTTTTTTGTGTTTTATTGACAAAAACACACTATCTTTGCACATTCTTGCCCAATGTCCTTAAAACAAACGTTACAACTGAATGCTATGAAAACATACAGTGCTTAACAATTTATTAGACCACCTGCCATAATAAAGAGAAAACACATTTTAGGAATCTGTCAAAAAATTGTTTAAATCAAAAAAATGTTATTGTCATTTATTTATAACTAAATACTTTTATTTATTCACATAACAAAAATGGCCTCCTATGCCCTTCATAGCTTGCGTTCTTGCTGGCATTGTTTTAAGTACTTTTTGACTGTAATTGGGTATCTGAAAAAAAAAACACTATAAAGCTCTCTGCCTTTCTTTCATAGATAACAGCAATCATTATATTATAGCATTAGAAACAGCCTACTACTGTTACTAAAGAGCTTATGCATATTGGAGGACTAACCCATACAGAAAGCTAAAAAATGATTTTGGTAATCACCAGTACTGTTAGTTTAGAGCAGCAGTGGCACAAACCATAATTTGTTAAAAACCTTACATAAATTTGTTAAGCATTGTATATAGTGAATATAGTTTAAATCTCTGCATTAAAAATTTAAATAATGATAAAGATGAATAAAATCACAAACCCAGTGGTAACCAATAGGTAAGAGTAATGTTCTGCAGAAACACACGTTCACTTTGACCACAGTCACATCATAGCACGATTCGGACAGTAATTGTTTCTCATATGGACGTCTGTAAAAATAAATTTACTTATCACCTCAGTGATAAAACTCATGGATTCCGAATAGGGCTTGGTGTCATTTCTTTATCCTGTTAAAGGCGGTTTTGAAGCGTCTATTTATATTCAGACAATTACACGCTGTTATCCCCTTACAGTTCCTACTCTCATAAAATATGCGCAATGCATGTTGACCTCTAAACCTTTATTTAACTTTCAACAACAGATATTTCAGCACAATTAATGTTTTTGCGCTGGTTATTAATTGTCTCTGTTTTCCGTCTGTCTGACGCGCGTACACGCACCGGCGCTCATTCAGTAAAGATTCAGATTTAACACAGACTGTCAGGACGGACCTTTATGCAAAAATGGAAATGCTCGCGTGAATTTGTGACATTTATACATAAGGATATGACCGTTAACTGAAAGTGTTTTTGCGCTGAGGACGCACACGCGCATCTGTTAAAGCGCCTGACAGGGCAAGCCATTACGCTAATGCATTAGCTTAAAGCTTAAAATAAATAATTCTCATGTTTTGGGCAGCTTGGATCACGTAACTCTCCTGCAGCATCTCATTCTGTTTCCTCCACTATTTTAGATGCATTTTGTCCATAGAAATAAGTAATTCAGTGCTTTAATTTGACGCGACCGGCTGAAGTTGGACAAGTATGTAAACTCCGTTGGACGTGCACTGTGGGCAGACCCGATTAATCGATAATGAGAATCGTTGTCGATGATTTTCATAATCGATGATAATCGATTAGTTGTTGCAGCCCTAAAGACAAGTGAACAGTCAAAACAAAAACAAATGTTTCATTTGTATCATTAGTCTATCATATTAATTTTGCCAACTCTAACAGTATTCAGGTAAGATATTACAGAATTTGAATAATCAAATGTATAATAGAGCTCTGTATGAATGAAATTTGTTTTTCTTTTGTTGTTTGATTAACATCAAAGTCCGCATGAAATCAAAATGTACAATATTTATTTTGTTAGTGCACATTGTTAGTCTTAAGGTGACCAATTCATCTGTGCAAGTTAATCCTCTGAAAAAAATAGTTTGTCTTGGTAATCTTTAATCAAAATCTGATCATTTGCTTCCGCTCCGGAATGGCACTCCTGCTCTGATGACGTTAGTTTGATGGCTTGGGCTGAATTTGCTTAACCACGCCCCTCCAACCATTAGTTTGCTGCGAGTGAAATATAAAAGGAGGAGCGCAAAAATAAAACCCGCCCTCTACTCAATATTCTATTTCAAGTGGAAATACGTCACCATACTGAAATAAAGTCGGCAGCAACTTCCAGTTCATGCAGACTTTAATGACACAGACAGAAGGCTGCTGTCACTAAGACCTAATGCACTGATCTAATATATTGACACGCATCCTCTTTTCTCCCAACTGTTAACGTTCCCTTAATACATAACCGATTGTGTTTGCATTCCATTTTGACATTTTTGTTTGTATTAGGCATGCACTCAAACCTAAAATATACTTTGTGTGTCCGTTCCTCTCCATCTGTACGTTATTACCAGATTAGGTTCTCTTTTCTGGCTTATTGCACTTTTAATGACTCATTTTAATATAAAGCATGTCACACTCCATACTTACTGAAAGCTGTGCGGATATATTTGCATACAGATATAATTAGAAAACATTTAGAGGACAGAAATGATCACTATCTCTACGATTTGTTTGAAAAAGGGGTCTTACAAGGGTAAATAAAGAACTGGGGCTGGTTGCAGACTGGTCATAACTTTTTATATTCAGTTATGAAAAGGTAGACTGGTCTTATTTGTATTGGAAAAGACAGACTGATAACCAATTGGGCAACTGCTAGTAAGTTTTGTAAAGTATTTTCTTTACTCTTTACTAAACTATCTAAAAAGGGTAATATTTCATGTATTTGAGGTCTGAGATGTGGGAACAGGGAAGAGAGAGAGGGCAAACATTTAGCATTTTAGGTCTAATCAGCCAATATTGTCTTAAATAGCCTGCATAGCACTTCATCTTTTATAACATGGGATTTTGACCAAATATATTCAATCTTGATTTTTGTAAAATGTTGTAGCAAGCTGTTATATTTTGTGTGTGAAAAATTACAGTTTTGGACATTAAGGTATTTTTCCAAAATATTTTTTATTACCTTATTAGTAACTACAATTGAGCATGTAAAACAAATATCTACAAAAGTGTTTCGGTCAAGAGTAGTCAGTGATTCTTTCTTTGTCTTTTGTTTGATGAACATTAAGGGCTTATTAGGTATATTAGACAGCTGTCATTTTAAGAGAATGTACAGGTATGATATACTGATAAATCTGATTATCTCCTTACTGTTTACATTTACATAACCGACTGCATTTATGAGGATGCTCAAAAATATTGGCACATTGACAATTTCGTGTGCATTTGTCCTTTGAAACACAAATTAAAGTGAGTTTTTTTCACATCTTGTGCTCGAGTAGTTTTAAAAATTGCTTCAAAAAGTGCAAATGATAAACTTTCATGTTGACATGGTGACAATTCCTTCAACTCTATTGTTCAGCCCTGCTAAAGTACCAATATGTTAATTGATCATTGCTTCTGTTCTTTAATATACAGAGTTGAATTACTGAAATAAATGAACTTTTCCACGACATTCTAATTTATTGCGATGCACCTGTAATCTGACAAATGTATTTGACTGCTGACAAATTCAACGTCTGTGATTTTCATGTAGGAGGGCAAAGCTGTATCGTTTTGCCAGTGAGAATGATCCCCCAGAGTGGAAGGAGCGTGGGACAGGTGACGTTAAACTCTTGCGACATTCAGAGAAGGGTTCCATCCGCCTTCTCATGAGGAGAGACCGTACCCTCAAAATCTGTGCCAACCATAACAGTGAGTGCAGCAGTTTATCCGCTCAGCTTCTGTTAATTGGCTTCCAATCATGTTGACTGGTTTATCGAAATCCCTTGCTCTAGTTATGCCGTTGATGGAGCTGAAGCCCAATGCAGGCAGCGACAGGGCCTGGGTGTGGAATACACATGCTGACTTTGCAGATGAAAAACCCAAACCAGAGCTGCTGGCTATTCGATTCCTCAATGCAGAGAGTAAGTATAAATGAACGGCATTTGCAGAATAAATATTTTGAAGTAGTTCAACTATTTATGTGCCATTAAAACAACGCTTAACAAATTATGAATAAGTGAAAGTGTTTCAAGTCTCGATGGGGGGGAAAAAGTAGCACCGGATTTTTTTCTGTATTGTGATGTACATCTGAATGAAACAGATGATCAAAATGGGGGGGAAAATGTAGAGAAGAGGGCTTGGTTCTATCTATTGATAGCTTTCGGTCACGTGACCGGCTCGAAGACCTGGAGGGCAAAACATCCATAGAACTGCAGCACAAGCCTATCAATTTTCCATCTGTTTCACAGCCGCAAATATTTAAATCACCTCTCAAAAGAATGAAACAAAGGTATGGGAACAAAATGCAAGTTTTGGCCATTTGCAATCCATATTAAGCACCCGCGGCAATATTTCAATCATTCAACAGTGCGACAAACGTTGTAAAAACACTTAAACTGCCTTAATATATTTAAAATAGTAATATTAAAAGATCCAATTCAGTAATCATACTTGATGCAAACTGCGTAAAAATAACTGGCGGTCAGTGGAGCAAAGCTTTTTGTCCTGTCCTCCAGGTGGGCGTGTGCCTCCTATAGATTTGTTCGGCATGGCTGGGAACGCCCACAAAAACATCATAACCGTTTATGCCGTGGGGGAAAACAAACCATTCGAATTAACGCGCGGAGACCTTGTTAGGCACTTGATCTTTACTTTTTGTGATGATTTCGATTGATTTTTGCTTTGTGCAATGCCGAAAAGTTGCTGTGTGGCGTCCTGTACCTCTAATAAGTTAAAAAACCTGATCTGACGATGTACATGACTGATACACTGCAATGATCTGTCGTTAGTCCCGTGCCCCTGCACCGCAACCCAGTTCTGATGGGGCTTACAGTAACCCTCCTTCGTTTTGCTTGGTGCAATGCCGAAAAGTTGCTGTGTGGCATTCTGTAGTACCTCTAATAAGTTAAAAAACCTGATCTGACGATGTATATGACTGATACACTGCAATGATCTGTCGTTAGTCCCGTCCCCCTGCACTAACCAGTTCTGATGGGGCTTACAGTAACCCTCCTTCGCATTGCAATCAAAAAAAATCTCACTCCCTGATATTTTGTGATGTCATAATCTAATAAAACATTTATTTCATATTATTATACACAATCCCTTACGAAAATTAGCAATGGTATTACTATAGTAAAAGTATAATAGGCTAACCTTTTTTTTTTTTTTTTTTTGGCGTTTTTATTACCAATTGTAGCCTATAACCACAGTTTTACTACAAATACCATGGTTAAACTATGGTTAGTGTAGTAAAACATGTTCTTTTTACCATGGTTTAACTATAGTAACCAATAACCATGTTTTTTGGTATTTTATATACATATTTTCATGTTATCTTTATTTTAAGGCATGTATTTGTGAAAATGATTAGGCAGCCGCAGCACACACCACATAGAATAACGCTGCACATTTCATGGCACTTTAGTGGACCTTAATGTTACCTGTTTTGTCAATGTTAAAAAACTTTTTAATATATCAATAAGAAAGTACGACAGGCTTTTACTCAAGTCTTTATCACTTTATTAAAATTAAGCAAAACAAAACAACTAATGTTTACTTTAACAAGCCGTGTAGTATAGGCTTGTAGTAGCCTAAGCTGTCTCTTGCTCAGTTAGGTAACAAAAAATGTTGAGAAACGACACCTCTGGCCATTCCGTTGGGTCGTTTGTCCAGTCACAGATACCGTACGGACAGTCCAACCAAATACGGCTCAGTTTTTATGCGTATGTTGCACTGTCGAGCAGCAGAAATAATTTTATGTAGGCCATTCTGAGTCAACACCATGCTTTTCCAATGAGGGGGAAAGGACGCCGGCTCCACCCACACAGCCATGACGCGACACCGAACAAGTCTATGAGTGTGTGACGTCACGTGAAAACTATCAATTGGTTGGTGAATCGGACACCTTTGGAAGTGAATAAATTGCACTTATACATGTATGAACTAGGGCTGAAACGAATAGTCGACATTATTGACAACGTCGGTAATAAAAAAAATTGTCTACAAATATTTTTGTTGTCGAGTAGTCGTTTGATGTCATATGACCTAATGTAATAGCCTGCAGTAAGACTGTAATTCAGCTCTCTTGATGCAATTCAAGAGAAGAAGACAGCGCTTCAGTTCAGAGCAAACGCAGCCGCGGCGTTTGGATGAATATGTAAATAAATGCTGCGCACTTTACTCTCAATAATGAAATAAACACAACAAGAACTGACAGCGGTGAGAAAGCAGCAGTTAAAAATGCATCTGATTACAGCGATGTGGATGTTTGCACTAACTCTGCAGTTCAGTAACCTACTCCAGTAAAGTCCAGTCATGTCACGTTTATTTATATAGTACTTTATGCAATAGCCTTAAATCAAGCAGCTTTACAGTATTAAACATGGAAAACCAGAGTCAGTGTCGCTTTCAGTTAGAATTACATCTTGATTTTCTGATATAAAGCAGCTCTCCAGTGTGGAGCTAGCTAATGATAACTTTTTATTAGTGGGAAAAAAATATTTAATTAAAGTGATACTTTGGTTTGCAGAGATCAAAGCTTGATCTAGCTCAGGACTGTTTTGATTATCATAACCCTATAAGGTATTTTAAGAGAGATTGTTTATCCAAAAATAAAGTGTCTTGTCACTATTTTGTTTCTTATCCATATGACTTACAAAAGGAAATGTTAGGCAGAATGATGTGTCATTCAGCTATTTTCTTATATAGCTAATTAAATGGTGAATAAGAGTTTCTCTGTCTGTCATCTCATTTTGTGTGGCAAATATATTTATTTGTATAAATTAATTGTAATTACATAATATGACTTTCAAAAGCTGAAGTGATTACTTTTATTTATTTGTTAGAATATGTATAACTTGATATTTTAACTAATTGCAAAAGCTGAATACTCAAAGTCTACTGACTAATCAGTGGAATAACCGACGATTAGTCGATTAATCGGTCTAATAATCGTTAGATTAATCGATCATCAAAATAATCGTTTGTTGCAGCCCTAGTATGAACCATTCACAGTAAGATCAATAATATGCATTAAGAAAATAGATGAATTTCCATTTCATGCCAACTGTGACAATAGTTGTGCAGTATCTATCATAATACTGTTTGAAAATGTATATTTTATAATTACTGGTTTCCTTTGTCTTGCAGATGCACAGAAGTTTAAGATGAAGTTTGATGAATGCAAAGAAGAGGTCAGAAAGTCCCTAGAAGGTAAGATTGATGGAATTTTCTACCCTGTTACCATGCAGACTCGCTCTGTTTAAGTCTGACAAATCCAGCCTTAGACTTTTTATGTCTGCGACAGTAGCGTTATAAGAAGAACGTTATAACCTGCCTTGCCATTCACTTGGGAGGTGACCGTGTCTTCTCAGACATTTTTTGATTTTTTTAAAATTTCTTAATCTTTTGTTAGGCTTGTAATGAAGTATTTCTTCAAGAGCCTTCAACTGAACCCTTTTAATTTTGTTTCACAGGTAGCATGAACAGTGCTAACAAAGTGGCAGAGAAGCTGGAGGAGCTGTCTGTGAATGATGACAAGACAAAGAGTTCAGGGGACAAGAAAGAAGAGGTGAAGGAAGAGAAGAAAGAGGAGAAGGCTGGTGTGGAGGAGGAGGAGGAGGAGGAGGAGAAGAAGAAATGAGCCCAGGAACGTAGCTCCATACGGATCCTCCACTTGCCATTTCCCCCTTTTCTACAACAGACTCTGAAAATGAAAAATTGGACACTTGTTTTCTTTTTGGCCTCGACTTCACAAGACCTTGGTGCCACTCTTAATGCATCCGTTTCTCAATCATTAAGATGTTGTGAGCTTTTGTCCCATTCACAAACTCCCATATCGCCCTTCATTTTCCCATACATTGTGGACCAGTCATCATGTATTTGTGTATTTACACGACATGCTATGATACAAGGCTTGTGCTATTGATTGATTCCCACATTGGGTAACCTCTTTTGTTGTTTTTCTTTTGTACTTTAAAGAGTTATATTGCGAGTGTCTAGATGAGCACTGTCTGATAAGAGAGCGGGCTGTATGAGTTGATAGGGAGAATGAGTATCTGAGATCTTCAACTTTTCCTTACAATAAAGTCACACGAGGAGCATTTGACTTCTCTGTGGCTTGAATTTACTATTGAATGACTAAAATGACTCATTTTTCTGTGGAGGGCTTCTTCTGGGAACAAATAAAATGTCAGCTCTGTCATGAATAACTGAAGGAAGTTTTCATCCTGTTATGAGTGTGACCCTCTTCTGTTTGAAATGGTAATCAAGAAAATAAAAAAGTGGTTGACTGTCAATTGATTGTGGCAATAAGGTTTTAAAATGTTGAGGGACCCCTGTTGTGATAATGCACAATAAATGCTTTTTAAAAAACATAGATAAGTGAAATAAGTAGGTACTGTATCACTTAATATAGTTTTCATTCCATAAGGCTTAACTTAAATTCCAAGAAACGGCACCGATCGAGATTTACAGGGCATATCTGAGGTTTGTCATATGGAGTCTTACAATGATAGCATGCACAATAATTTGGGCTCTTAGACATTGTTTTGCTTTTATTTATTAATTTTGAATGTATGTTTTAGGAATTGAGGTTTTGATATTGTGTTTGATGAACAGCAAATTTTCAGCATTCCTGGTTTTTGAGCATTTTTGATGAAAGCAGCAGGGTCCCTTAAATTACATTTGGCATTTGATGACTGACTTGAAATCTCACATTTTATAGTGCTCACTAATTATAAATCATGTAAAAGGATTGTGATCAAACCAAATTAAAGACTGATGCTTTGTCATACATCAGTGTCTGCTTGGCTTCCATTTACAAGCCTAATGGGACAAATATGAGTTTTCTCCTTGGCTAATCACATGGAGACCATGAGACAGCTGTTTCATTTGATACTAGAATTAAAACCATTTAAAATCTGGTTTTTAAATTATACAGATTTTTACATAAAAGAAAAAACAGCTTATTGCAGCATAATGTATATATGTTTTAGATAAGTAAATTCGCATTTGGTAAGAAGTTAACAATTTAGGTATGTAACGATATAATGCTATTAACTGATTACTGTGAAATGAGGTGGTTATTTTTTTTATTGGACATTAAAGACATAACATGCAACATTTACAACTTTAACAAGACATCCAAAAAGATAACACAGTTAAAGGAATGGGTTTACATTACATAGAAAAAAAAAATCAATAATACTTAAAGAAAAATAAAAAAAGACACCATATACCCGTTCAATTTTCAAGTAACTTCAACTCTAGCGAATAAAATTGTATCTACATTTTTTGTTATCAATACATTGGAGAGACTCAAAATACAAATGAAAATCAGTCACAACGACCTTCAAACAGGGTTTAGAACTATTTATTTTACTTTTATTAATATGAAATTTACCAAATAAAATCATTAGATTCATCATAAAATTGACAGATGCATTTTTTTATTCAAAATATAAGATAACATCTTTGGATGTTAATTCCCAATTATAACCAGATTTCTGTTGAATGTATATAGATAAACCTTCCCAGAATTTTTGGGAATGGTAACATTAAAAAAAAAGATGTAGAATTATTTCTGGCTGATCTGAACAAAATTAACATTTTTCATCAATATCCATAAATTTAGCTAGAGTATAGTTACTAAGATAAATATTATGAAGTACTTTCAGATGTATTTCCCGAAGTTTGTTAGATATACAAAACCGAAAGGGAAGAAGCCAAGCTTTTTTCCAAATAATCTGGAAAACAAATGTTCCAGAAAAAATTCCGAAATGAGGTGGTTATAAAAATTTATGTTTTCGCTTTATTACGCAGCAATGCGGAACCTTTATTGTTGCGAGGAAACGTAGCGAGTCGGATCTGTTTGAAGGACGGAACCTACACAGCCACGTAGTATAGGCAGGAGCAAGTCTGAGGTTGGTGCTTAATTATTTTTATAATTTCTTCTTATCACCGCTCTAATTACTCACCATTTCACGTGATATTAGCTTCGCAGAAGCGAGGTCGTGTGTCAGTGTCACGCATCAGTTGCTAAAGGTTTTTGGATATCGTGCGATGTGGCTAAGTGGCTAATGCTAATCAGATCAGAGATTTATAATAATAAACTCAAATTGACACAGTATCTCCTGTTATTTTTCGCCGTTCCCGTGCTGTTAATAATTTATTATGATTAGTTTGTTTGTGGCTGTGCTTTAATTTTCAATTTCCTTAAAGTTAGAGATATTTCCTCTATGCTGAAAGTGACAGTTTATCAAACACGCTGTTTGACAGCCTGATCTGTCCACATGTGATTTTTAAAATGAGTATATTTGGGTTGATTTTACAGTCATGTCAGCTTTGGTTGCATGCCAGATGTCTGTTAAGTATCTTAAATCGCACTTATTATTCCAGCACACTGATGTGTTACAATGAGAATGAGAAAGAAAGAAAAAAACAATCATGTTTTGTCAGGTGCTAGTCTACCATGACACTAAGCTGACTGATTTCTGAGTATAAAAACAAAATTAATTACAGTACTGAGAAAAGTTTATGCAAGAAAGATTATGTACAGTATCCTATTTTTAAGTTTTCAGTTTTTTCTCCTTGCCTACAGCTCAGTATGAGTCCTCACCACATGTCACTTATCATAAATATTGACAAATGAAGCATTCACTTCAGTGCATGAATTACAAAATGTAGAAAACTTTAGTGCTGACATCTTAAAGTGTTGATGGGTATCTGCGTTGACTAAAACATATTGTGCATACCATACAACACATGCATTAAACAAGAATATTTAACCAATGCATTGGAAACCTAATAAAAGACAAATACCTTGTTTGGGTCGAAGGTTTGTAACAAGGTGCTAGTCTACCATGACACTAAGCTGACTGATTTCTGAGTATTAAAACAAAATTAATTACAGTACTGAGAAAAGTTTATGCAAGAAAGATTATGTACAGTATCCTATTTTTAAGTTTTCAGTTTTTTCTCCTTGCCTACAGCTCAGTATGAGTCCTCACCACATGTCACTTATCATAAATATTGACAAATGAAGCATTCACTTCAGTGCATGAATTACAAAATGTAGAAAACTTTAGTGCTGACATCTTAAAGTGTTGATGGGTATCTGCGTTGACTAAAACATATTGTGCATACCATACAACACATGCATTAAACACAAGAATATTTAACCAATGCATTGGAAACCTAATAAAAGACAAATACCTTGTTTGGGTCGAAGCATTGTTTGTAACATATTAAAGTTTTATGGGAGCTTGTTTTTTAAATTTGTATTTAATTTCTGTAAAAAATAATAGAAATAATTGAAATCTAATAAAAGATACATATTTTATTACGTTTCTTCATAAGAGACATATCACTTTTTTCTATTTTAACATATATGTTTAATCGACATGAAGTATTAAGTTATGGTTTGGGGGACAGGTGCTTTAAGATGGAGTTGAATGATAATGTAATGTCATAATTTCAATAAATAAAGAGAAAATCAGAGCATTCAAGTGATAATCACGGATTCGTTTCAAAATTGTTGTTTTTGAGTGCTAATGGCAGGTCAAGTTGTGGAACACGTTTTGTCTCAAGGATCAGACTGCCATTGAAACCACTTCTGTTTTCTGTTTTGAATTTGGTGAATTGCTTTTGCCTTTCTTTCCCCAAAATGGTGTGGTGTGGCTTAGCTGGCTAGTCTATGTCAACTGTCAAAGACAAAGCCTGTTGTTTTAATCTTTGCAGGATAGAGAGAAAAACAACTTGTGGTTTACTGAGGGGAACTTGCTAGTGCCACATCCAGTAGTAACAATGACATGTGTCAGCATTGTGTCCTTGATCAAAACATTTAATCCCACATCACTTCAGGGAAAGCATTCCTGTAATTATCGTACCATTACGTGACTAAATGATAAATTAGCATAGCATTATTGTTGCTGATTTTGCTTTAACTGAGCAATAAATCTTGAACATTTCTCGCAGTGTGGATGAGTTAAACTAATGTTTCCATTCTCCAGGATCACCGAGGACTCAAGCTGTCTGCACCATCCAGGCCAGCCTGCAGGCTTAACCAAAGTTTACAGAGCATGAAGTAAAGGTGAATTGCACTAGTGAGACCAGCTCATGTTCATGGATGCTAGAGCAGCATCTGTGGTTCAAGAAATATGGAAAATGGAAATAATGAAACCGCCTCAGTGGAGGCCAACCCTCAGCAGCCGGATGCACAACACGGCAAAGATCCAGACAGCAATATTGTAGAGTCTCTGAAGCCGGAGAGATCCCTCGTAATGGAGAAAATCCCTAACGGTAAGCGTTCTTTTGAGATGAAATTTATTTGATGGATGCTGTTGCAATTAGATGGTTGATTTAATCAACATTGAGGCTGTTCATTTGTACTTTCTGATTTATAATAGAAGGATTTTTATACTCATGCTATGCACAAAATGTGCAGGATTCACTGTAAAGCTTGTGCTTGAAAGTTGTTTGTTGTGCTCATTCAAAACCTGGAAAGATTTCAAAGTGAACATTTGCTGTTTACTGCGTCACTTGGCTTTGAGATGTTTTTTCTTCCCACTTCCTCCAGTGCCATTTGTTACCTTATAAAGAAGTGTTTTTTTTCCTAGATTTATCCACAAACTTCCCCCTGCTTTCTGTATCAGTTTCCTAAACTGTCACTGTAGCTCGATTAGGCTGTTTGACTTGCTCTGCAAGACTTGCGCAAAAGATAACTTTCAGGTCACTAATCACGTTTAAAGGTTATACATGACCAAAAAGCACTAGGCATAACCTCTTTATATCAGCTGGCTCATTTGGGTTAGTACTTTAAAAGTGGGCAAAGTAACGTTTTACCCATAAAGAAAAGAATCATGCTTTTGACAAATATGCATAAAATTATGCACCCCTTGCATGACATGAAAAAATGGTAGTGGACTATTTATTTTATTTTATTGGACGCTTCTCTGTGGAATAAATTAATTACGGATGACAAATATGCCTGTGAATGCGACAGTGTTGTTTAGAGAATTGTTGGTAACAATTTACAATAAGGGATAATTTGTTAAATTAAGTTAATTGCATTAGTATTGGGCTTGAGCTAACATGAACGAACAGTGAATAGCTATATTATAATACTGTATTAAATGTATTGTAAATGTTAATGCATTACTAATGGGACCTTACTGTAAAGTCTTGGATACCAAATTGCTTTTGCATTGAGTGATTCTTACCAAAAAGAAAGTATTAAAGTGCGCTCTTTGGTAACACTTTTTGATTTGATTACGTTTTTCTTCATTTTAATCATTTTAAATGCACTAAACACTTCATTTTCTAGGCCTACAATTGTTGAATGACCAGTCAGTAATTTTACTCGGTCCATATAGTCATAAATGGGGTCCGGAGATGAGGTTGAGCTTGACTAAGTTGTAATAAAACCGAAAACCTTTACTTTTGCATGATATTTCATCCATGCTGATAGATATGTTGCACTGGCTTGTAAAACATTAAAAACACTTAGTTTAATGTAAGCTCTTTGCTGAATCCCTTCTCTTTGTTTTAGGTCATGTCAAAGCAGAGCTGTTGCCAAACGGAGAGGCCGTGGTGGAGGGTCAGGAAACCTGCGGAGGCAGCACCCCACCTCTGGCAACTCCATCCCCAGGCAGCCGCCTTCCCGATTCCCCCCTGAGCGCAGAGCTGGATCCAGGTGTGGCCTCTTTCCCTGACAGCCTAGAGAAGTCTGAGGCAGCTCTTGCAGAGGGCTCTGTTCACAAGGGTGACGCATTGCAATCGCTCAGACTAAGTATTCCTATGCAGGAGACTGAATTGTGTAAGCACATGATACTGGATAACCCCCCGAATCACCGCCTTCCCTTTCCTGTTGTGTCGTAATTCCCCCAAGTTTGGCTTTTGAGGCTGATTTATGCTAACCCTCCCCGTTTGGTGTACCCTGTTTTTGCCTGCTCCTCCGTTTTGGCTTGCTGGAGATTTTAGTGGGAATCTCTTCATTGCATTATGTCACCTAATGAATTAATAAAAGACTAATTAGTCTCTCCTGTGATTGTGAGTGCTTTATGACAGCAATCCTGGGGTTGCGCTGGTTGGTGATTCAGATTTTCTGGGAACAGCATAAATACTGGCAAGACATTGTGCGTCTTAAGTCAATTTGGCTTGGATGTGAAATATGGCTGAACTAATAAGAACTAACTGACGCAGAAACTCAAGTGCGCTTTTCTCTTTTTCTGACTAAGGCAGCTGGAATGGCTCATTATTGGTTGCAGAGCTCACAAGGTGTTTGCTGTACCAGGACCAGCATGAAGCTTCACTCTTGAAAGACTAGGGATTGGAATCATATGACATTTTAATGATTCTGGTTCCATTTCCACTTTTACAGTCAATTACTAATAGGACCAGCATGAAGCTTCACTCTTGAAAGACTAGGGATTGGAATCATGACATTTTAATGATTCTGGTTCCATTTCCACTTTTACAGTCAATTACTAAGTTTTTATTTTTCTAGTAATTTTGCTCTGGAAGACCCTTAGCAGCCTAATTGTTATTCATTTCAGATTTTTCAAAGCAGTAATAACATCAGAGAAAAAATATACTACTAAATTTCGTTAAAACATTACTTTTATCAGCCTATCCCCCCCAAAAATCTACACCACTAAAAGATGCATTTACATAAACCAGTTAAGTGCAATTAATTGCATTGAAATTATTAATGATTTGATTGAATGCAATTAATTGCGTTGAACACGTCTGTAAAGTGAAGCCTGTGTATATACCATTTTGTTACAGATCCATTTAGTTGTTGTATTTTTTTTTAAATGGAGCCAGTTGTCCGTTCCTATCCCTAGAAAAGACATTGTCAAGCAAGCTTGTTTCAGTATTGATGAGCTGTTATTTTCTTGTATAATCAATAGCCTGTTGCGTTCAATCCAATACTGCTTGGTTGACAATATCTCAACTTTTCACCTGCCTATTTTTACGTAGCAAGAGTTTTTGTGTTTTTATTGACCATGTCTTTCTTGTAGCATCGAAAGAGCCATCTGTGGAGATGGAAAATGAAGAAAAAATCCGTCAGGAAGCTCGTCGGCGTCTGGAGGAACAGCTCAAACAATACAGAGTACAGCGGCACTCTGAGAGAGTGAGTCAGCAAATGAGAACTGTCAGTTTCTGTGAAATGACTGATATTTAATTTAATGAGTAGTTGGCCAAAAACTGAAAATTGGCATCATTTTACTCACCCTTATTCGCCTTTCAAAAGGAAATCTTTTCCTTGCAGTGAAATTGAATGGACATTGTCAATCTCCAAAAATGACAGAAAAAGTAGTCCCCATAACTTGTGTGCTATATTTCATGTCTTCTGAAGTCATATTATAGCTTTTGTGAAAAATGGACCAAATGTTAAATCTGCCACAGCTTTCAGTTATATTTAAATATGGCACATGAAGAAGTATCACACTAAGTTTGACTTCAAGAATGCTGAACCATTGGTATTTTATTATTGCTTTATGGTTTGTTATTCACCTTAGTTTTTAATTTTTATTTAATTTTATTTTATTTTCCTCCACTTAAAAAGAAAGTCAAACTGGATTGGAACAACATGAGGGTGAGCAAAATCATTTTTGGGTAATGTTTTTTTTTTTATGTTGCCATTGGTGGACTTGATGGACTTAATGTTACACATTAGGGGCTTTCGCACCGGAGGAACCTTTTCATAGTTCCTAGAACTATTGGTGGAAGTACCAGCTTTTTGGCGTGTTCGCACCGCAGGAACTAGGAACGTATTTAGTTCTAGGAACTCCATTTAAGGGAATTAAATTAGCTCCTACTTCAGAGATGGGTATAAAACAGTTCTATAGGAACTACCAGTGATGTAAGTACAAGCTGATTGGCCAAATGCATACGAAACACCGGCTACCCGGCATTTTTAAAAAGCCATGTAAAAATATTTACTCCACGAACATGGAAAACAGCGATAACGGCATTTACCTGTTGTCTGCAGTGTTGTTTTTTTTCTCAGCCTCGATGATAACACTGCAAGTTGTCATAGAAAATTTCGTCTCTTAGCCCAACTTTTTGCTCTTTCAGTCACGTAAATTGTGCGTTTACATTCCATCTCTGTTATCACGAAACCCACGACACACGCCGTCCTCCATTCACCTGTTGTTAACGTTTGTAAATGCTGTGAATAAAAACGTTTCTGTTGTTCTTGCTGCCGGTGCGAATGCAACCAGGAAAACGGCCCGAGGGAGTAACTGGTTCTCTAGGAATCACCATGTTGGCTAGTTCCTAGTACTATGCGGTGCGAAAGCCCCTATTGATGAACCGTTCTGTTTTCGTCCAGTGTTGGCTACTGTTTCTTGTTTTACATGTCTTATTGCATTAAATTTTCATTTCTTTGTCCCTTTCAGAACCGGCGTTCCACTCCTAAGAGCCGCCAATTTAGCACTTTGGACCCGGAGCTCATGCTCCATCCCGAGGGTCTCCCACGGGCCAGTACTGTCGCCATGACTAAGGAATACTCTTTCCTGCGCACCAGCGTTCCTCGTGGTCCCAAACTGGGAAGCCTGGGGATCCCTTCCAGCAAGGAGAAGAAATCCAAATCATCTCGCTCCAACAAGATCCACTCTCTCGCCGACTACAGAACTCCCGATTCTGACGCTAAAAGCACAGATGCATCTGGGGGGCTAGTTTCAGCATTTGCCGACTCGTCCTTTAGCTCTCTGCATTCCACCATCAGCTCAGTCTCCACAGTTTCCGAAATCAGCATCAGTTCCGAGACCAACGCCCACTCCGAATCATCTCAGCTAATCAGAGACAACATCACTGATGGTAATGACAGCGATAGCTCATCCTATAGTAGCGTGTCTACTACAGGGACATATAATATGTTAGCTGCAATAGTGAACCGGCCAAAGGCTCCATATACTGTCGAAGGGAGAGAGATTGCTCCAGAAGCCATGGGCCATTTTCCATCACTGCAGGAAGTCCTGCAAGCAGCCACTGAAGAGAGGCACATGGAAGAGCTGGAGCAGGAAAGAGAAGGCAGCGTGGAGCCTCGCAGTCGCAGGGACAGCTTCTCCAGCAGGTATGAGTAAATATTTTGCCTAAATATTTTTTAGACGTCATTATCTGTCTTGAAACCAGCCCATTACACCCTCATGATGACTGTTGAATTATGCGTTTGCAGCGTGTCGTATGGGAGTTCTGTGATGGGGACTCATGATGAGATGCTGCAAGTGCTGAAAGAGAAAATGAGGCTAGAAGGACAACTAGAGTCTCTTTCCTCCGAGGCCAATCAGGTGAGTTAATACTAGAGTCCCAAGTATTTGCCCATTATTTGCTACTTGCTACCAACAGAATATATACATCTATTAGTGGTCGACTGACATGGATTTTTTTTTTTGTGGCTGACGCTCATATTTTAGAGGGCAGAGTGGTTTAAATATTTATAGTTATTTATTTTATGTATTTACAAAATTTACTTATACATAGTAAATAAATCATGCACAGCATTACTGCAATATAATTATTGTTTATTATTTGAATGATTAATTAGAATTATAGTTTTTTTTTTTTCCCCCACAAAAAATAAATAAATGTAAAACTTACAATCAAGTAATCACTGTAACAGACACACACACACAGTATATGTACACTGCCATACAAACATTTAGGGTTGGTAAGATTTTTTAAAATGTTTTTGAAAGAAGTGTCTTATGTTCATCGAGGCTGCAGTTATTTGATTAAAAATATAGTTAAAGGGGTCATATGACGTTGCTAAAAAAGAACATTATTTTGTGTATTTGGTGTAATGAAATGTGTTTATGCGGTTTAAGGTTAAAAAAATACATTATGCCCCGCCTTTCTGAAACTCGTTGATTTTAACAAAGCTCATCGTTCTGAAAAGCGAGGTGTGCTCTGATTTTAGGGATCTTATCTGTTCACAAACAGCTTCTAACACTCCAAAGAGAAAGGAAAACTTGAAATCGCATCATATGACCCCTTTAAAACTGCAATAATATTGTGAAATAATATAACTTTTTTTTTTCTATTTTAATGTATTATATATTTTAAAAAATGAATGTATTTCTATGATGGCAGATCTGAATTTTCATCTGTTTTTCAGGATTCTTTGTTGAATTAAAAAGTTTAATAGAACAGATAGAAAATCTGAAATCTTTTGTAACAATATAAATGTCTTATATACTGTACTGTCTCATATAATTTATAATAAACTTGATATAATTATATAATATTACTACTTTTGATCAATTTAATGCATCCTTGCTGAATAAAATTTACTTCTTAATTAATCTTCCTAATCCCAACCTTTTAAACAGTCGTGTTTTTTATTTATTTATTTATTGTTATATACTTCTAAAGAACATGCTTCTTTAAAATGTGGTTACAACCACATGGATCATCTAAAACCTTCCTCCATTTCCAGGCTCTGAAAGAAAAGACAGAGCTCCAGGCCCAGCTGGCTACAGTAACTGCTCAGTTGCATGCCCAGGTGGAGCAGACCCAGGCCAGTCAGGAGAAGCAGAGCACCCTCACCTCTGAAGTCATCACATTACGCTTCAGCTGCTCTGCGCTGGAGAAGGCCATGGTGGATCTCCAGGCCAATGTAGAGGGGAAGAATGCCAGCCTGGCCTCGCTGGGCAATGACCTGCAGCTGGCTGAAGAGCAGTACCAGAGGCTCATGGTCAAAGTTGAGGAGATGCAGCAGAGCCTGAATACCAAGGACAACACAGGTGAAGACAAAGTGGTAGATAATGTCAGGGTTGAGTCTGGTTAGTTGGGATTCTGGGATATTAGTCTCCGTATATAATTACTCAGGATGGTTAACATGGTAATTTCCCTTTTGATCACTAGTTCCAGATTTTAGTAAATGTAATGCATTGGGAAGTATTGAAGTTACTGTTTGAAAAATTTGGTCTGGTTTAAAAAACCCATAACTATGCCCAATTGAGTGATTAACAGAAGGCTGGACTTCTGAGTACATGCTCACAAAATTAAGTGAAATGTTGAGAAAATATATAAAATTCTTAAATTGTTTACATAGCTTTTTCCTATTCATCGTTTCTCCACTTAGTCTCCGAGTTGCGGCAGCAGATGGGAGGCCTACAGGCACAGCTTCAGCGGGTCCAGAGCGAGAGGAACGCTCTGCAGAGCAGACTGAAAACCTCGCAGGCAGAAGTGGACTCTCTACAGCAGCTCCGCCTCTGGTACCAGCAGCAGCTGGCTCTGGCACAGGAGGCACGAGTGCGACTGCAGGGAGAGATGGCAAACATGCAGGTATAATGGCCCACTATTGCCATGTTGTGAGCTCAAGAAGATAATGTTGTTTACAGAAGGTTGAAGACTTTTAAAATCTTGCAAAGATGTTGTAGGTGAAGTGCAATTGAGTGTAAATTTGTTTACCCATAATATGTGTACTACCATTTACAGTTTGGGGTCGGTAAGATTTTTAAAATTATATTCTCTAAGGCTGCATTTATTTGATCAAAAATATATTTAGATTATTAATATTAATATCGGTTTTCTATTGTAATATATTTTAATATGTAATTTATTCCTGTGATGCAAAGCTGAATTTTCAGCATCATTATTCCAGTCTTCAGTGTCACATGATCCTTCAGAAATCATTCTAATATGCGGATTTGCTGCTCAAGAAACATTTCTCAATATTATCAATTCTAAAAGTGATTTTGCTGCTTAATATTTTTGTATTTTCAGTATTGAATGAATAGAAAGAACAGCATTTTTTTTTTTTTTATCTAAATCTTTTGTAACATTATAAATGTATTTATTGTAGCTATTGTTTATATAATTTGTCATTAATTTGATGCATCCATCTGAATAAAAGCAGCAATTTCTTTCAAAAATTAAATCTTACTGACCCTAAACCTTTAAACGATAGTGTATGTATTCAAAAACCAATGTTTATCAGAAAGATTCAAATGCAAAATGGCCATCTGTTGTGTGTATTTGTTTGTATATTTACTTTCAGGCGGGTCAGATGACTCAGATCGGAGTGTTGGAAAATCTAAAGATGGAGAACGTTACTCTGTCTCACAAACTCACAGAGACGAAACATCAGTCTATAAAAGAGAAGGAACGGATTGCTGTGCAGCTACAAAGTATAGAGGTCTGGCACACTAACACTATTTTTTCCTCATTTAAGCCGCTTTTCCACTGAAATTACCTGGAAAATGTTGTTTTCCCAGACCTGTTGCTGTCTGCATTTCCATCGCGGTCTAAAGTACCGAGAAGATTAGGCAAATAGTCTGGTGACGTAGGTCTGCGCGCATTTCTCAATACCAAGTTCGCAAATTTCGGACTTGCATCTTCTGTAGTTCGGACGTCGCAAGTTCGACTCGGGAGTGTGAACTCCCGCGGACGGGACGACGCAAGTTCGGTAATTCTGCAAACAGCAGTGTACTTGATAACATCAATCAGCTCGCCTTGGCTACTGCAATTTTCCTCACTGTATTTACAATAAGACGAAATATGATATCAAACACCACTGCCTCTTTTCGTTTTCATTTAAACATATTAATAGCTGCAGAAATACAGAGTTCTGGCATGAAACGCAGAAAAGATGGCGCAGTCCGATAGGTCTAACTCAATCTGACCTAATGACATCATTATCACATGGCATCATTATCACAAAACATATTATTTTTGAACTAATGTGGTTCAAATGACGGAGATGCGACCGTGTTCGGGAAACAGACGTGACTTGGTAGTTTGTTTCCACAGCAATGCAGTGTACTATGGTGGTTAATCAGCAAGTTACGTCTTTGTACGGGAAACGCAGCCCAGTTTAGTGTGCTTTAAGAAATGTATTTTTTACTTTAGTAAATTAGGAATAAGTTGAATGACGATTAAGTCTAAAAAGCATACATAATAATAATAATAATATTAATTTACTAATTGTTATTCAGGTAGACATGTTGACTCAAGAAGCGTCCATCCATCAAATCCAGGAGGCAAAGTCAATGGTGGAGGAAGATCTTCAGCGCAAACTGGAAGAGTTTGAGGAGGAGCAAGAGCATCTTCTCAAACTTGCCAACACAGCCACAACACTGGAGAGAGAGCTAGATCAGGTAACTAAATATGCACACACACACTACCCCATTTGTCTTTTGTGGTGTATTCTAGTATTCAAGATCTCATCCTGTAATTAAAGAGTTGTAGGTTCAAACCCATCACCATTGTGGTCTTGAACAAGACTCTTAATCGCATGTTTCTCCACAGGGACATTTTTGTAATATGTTGATTGGAATATAAGCATCCCCTAATAATGACTCAAATGACTGATTCTTCTCCTTCCAGGTCAAACTCATTCTCTCCCAAAAAGATGCCCAGCTGGAATCGCTTCAGCGTGAGCACCTAGAGCTGATGAAGCAGCTGACCACTACTCAGGAGACCCTCCAAACCAAAGAACAGGCCCTTAATCAGCTGGAAGCATGTTACCAGGAGCTCCAGGCCCAGCTGGAGGAGCTACAAACTGACGCCAAAGCTAAAGAGGAAACCCTGCAGTATCTCCAAAATGAGAAAATAGTCCTGGAAGTTGCTCTACAGGCAGCACGGGCTGATAAGAGCGAACTGGATGAAGGAGCGGAAAGGCTTGGAGAGGAAGTGCTGGTGGCGTCAGACACTCTTGACCAGCTTAGGCAGGAACTGCAGGTTAAATCAACCCAGGTGAGAGGTTTTTTTATTTTTTAAATCAAGAACGTTAGAATGGATTCAGATTGCAATTTTTCCTTTCTCTCCACAAGATTGAAGCTCTCCAGCAGGAGAATGGCAACCTCAAAAAACAAGCACAGAAACTGAAAGAGCAGTTCATGCAGCAAAAGGTATGATCTCAGTACCTTAAAGGGGTCATATGATGCTGCTAAAAAGACAAATCTTCCCACATAGTGAGGTAGATATGTGGGGGCGTGTTAGAACGAGCCGTTTTATGTAGGTGTGGTTAACTCTTAACTTTTATAAAGAATATCTCTTTGGATTTGAGACTTTAGTCTTTGCAACTTTACAGATCTTCTTTATGCACCAAGAGCTTGTAACACTCCAAAGAGAAAGGAAAAATTGAAAACGCATCATATGACCCCTTTAAAGTGTATAGAGTGTAGTCCTGTAGTTTTGTCGTTTTGTCATTGTCAAGTGATATATAGCCCATCTCTTCCATGATTTTTTTTTTTCTTTAACCTAGGAAATTCCATTTGGCCATTTTGATTTCAGTAAGGCATTAAATACTTGTTTGCTGCTGGATAAGACTAGTTATGACAAGTTTCTACCACCAAAAAATATACACCAAATGCTATCGAATCAACAAAATTGGCAAATGGGAATTGGTAGAAGTGTTCTTGATCTGCTCTACTCTTTATTGCAGGTGATGGTTGAAGCTTACAGGAGAGATGCCAGCTCCAAAGACCAGTTGATCTCTGAGTTGAAGGCTTCTAAAAAGCGTCTGGTGGCAGAGGTGAAGGACCTGAAGCAGGAGCTGTTAAAAATGGAGGGAGAAAAGAAGAGCGCAGAACAGGAACAGGCTCGCCTGCAGAAGGAAGCGGAGCGAGTCCAGCAGCAAATGAACGGTCTGGAAGCCCATTTACAATCCGTACAGACAGAGAGAGACCAACTTGACTCTCAACTGCAGGTACACACCGACTGAATTACTAAGATCATCTCTGCTGCAGAGAGGCACCCTTTTGCCTTTTTTTTTTCCGTAACAAATTAATACTTTTATTCAGCAAGGACGCATTAAATTAATCAAAAGTGAGAGTAAAGACAGTTATGATGTTACAAAAACGTTTACATTTTAAATAAATGCTGTTCTTTTAAACTTAAAATTTACAAAGAATCTTGGAAAATTTTTCTTGAACTGGAAAGTTTATTGACCACCAAATCAGCATATTAGAATGATTTCTGAAGGATCATGTGACACTGACCACTGAAAATTCAGCTTTACCATCACAGGAATAAATAAATATTTTTAATATATTACAGTAAAGCAGTTATTTAAATTATAATATTATTTCACAATATTACTGTTTTTCCTGTATTTTTGATCAAATAAATAAATGCAGCCTTGGTGAGCATAAGACACCTCTTTCAAAAACATTTTTAAAAGACACAATAAATAAATTCATTATATGGAATAAAACATGATATATATATATATATATATTGTTCAAAAACGTTTGAACAGTAGTGTATAGCATTTTGACATTCTCCACGTTGTTGCTTCAGTCCCTTCAGTTTGACCAGAACCAGCTGGCGGCAGTGACGGAAGAGAATGAAAATCTGAGAAAGAGGATCGAACAAATGCAAAATGAAGCCAGAAAGTGAGTAACAATCACACCGCCTCTCCTGCCATAAGGGTTTCCATAGTGATCACTGCTCAGTCTTTGACATCATGAATATGATGTGACATATAGACAATAGTGCGTGTTTGCTTGTGATCTTGCATCTCAAAATTAAATGATGGGGAAATGGGATGCATTTTTCAACTGTTTATTTAACAAGTTAAAAAATGATGGTGAAGTAGACCAAAAAATTGTCTAACTTGCTGTTATGTGCTGCTCTTTCCTCGTCCAGGGCTATCTCGGAGCAGAAGGTGAAGATGAAGCGTATGGGCACAGATTTGACCAGTGCACAGAAAGAGATGAAGGCCAAGCATAAGGCCTATGAGAATGCAGTTGGCATTCTGAGCCGCAGGCTGCAGGAAGCCCTCACCGCCAAAGAGACAGCTGAGGCTGAACTTGACAAACTCAGAACTCAGGTTTCAGAGGGTGGAAATAGCCAAGAACTTCAGGTAAACTGCTACTGATGGTCTACAATGTAAATGCTAAAAGTTAAAAGAGATGCATAAATACTGAAAACGTTTGATTGTAATTCTTATATAGCTCCAGTTTACACCGTTCGCAGTGGTGTGCTGTGTGTAACTACAGTTTACAAGTTGATGTGTATTTGTTGTTATTGCTTCAGGCCAAGCTGGAGTCCCTGCAGGGACAGCTGAAGGCAGTGAGCCAGAGTAAAGCCATGCTGGAGAAAGAGCTACAGGAGGTCATCACCCTCACTAGCACTGAGCTGGAGGAATATCAGGAGAAAGTGCTGGAACTGGAAGACGAGGTGAGAAAAAACTCATTAATGGTGCGAAAGACACAATTTAATCAAAATGGCAAACTATATGATTTTTTAAATTATTAACATGTTTACATACACATCATTTTCTGAGGTCAGAAAATCAGTTTGGAGTCTGTAAGATTTTTGAAAGAAGTCTCTCTTAATGGTGACCAAGTCTGCATTTATTTGATGCAAAACACAGTAAAAACTGTAATATTGTGAAATATTCTTATGATTTAAAACAACCGTTTTAATATGTAATGTATTATTTTACTGACAAAGCTGAATTTTCAGCAGCCATTACTCCAGTGTTCAGTGTCAAAAAACCCTTCATTAATCATTCTATTATGCTAATTTGGTGCTCATAAAGCATTTCTTATTGTTATCAACATGAAAACAGTTGTGCTGCTTAATTTTGTAATTTTAAATTTTCATACGAGGATTCTTTGATGAACAAAGTTCAAAAGAGCAGCATTTATTTGAAATGAGATTTTTTTTCTTTACTGTCACTTTTGATCAATTTAATGCATCTTTGCTGAATATAAATATTAATTTCTTAAAGAAATACCTTAATCACCGCATACCTTTGAATGATAGTGTACATGTATGTTTTCCCCCATTATTCTATGATACTAGAGATGTTTACGCTTTACATTTTTAGTAATTCTGTACAATAATTTAATAAACTTGATTACAATAATTTAATAAACTGATTACTGATTTTCTGACTTCATTTTCTCTTCATTTCACTGATAATTTTTGTTTAAATGGTTTCTTTTTTTCCCCACAGCTTCAAGAGTCAAGAAATTTTAAGAAGAGAATTCGTCGCCTGGAGGATGCGAATAAGAAGCTTGCGCTTGAGCTAGAGCATGAGAAAGGGAAGCTCTCTGGGCTTGGGAAATCCCATAGTGCATTGCGGGAACATGCCAATATTCTAGAGGCTGCATTGGCAAAGCGAGAAGCAGATCTTGTCCAGCTCAACTTACAGGTGTGATGCTACATGTCATAACTACCTTTTAGATTCCCCAAACTGTTCTTTAATCAATAGAATTTAGTACTTTTTTTTGGTTTGTTTTGTAGGGGGGGTTGTTTTAACATCTCCGTAATCCTTCACTTTAGGTTCAGGCAGTGTTAAAGCGTAAAGAAGAAGAGGACCAGCAGATGAGACAGTTGGTGCAGACGCTGCAGGCTGCTCTGGAGAAAGAGAAAATAAAAGTCAAGGATCTGACCGAGCAGGTTAATACATGGTTTAACAGCTGCAAGGCGTATCCAGTTCCCCTTGAGAACTCCCAAAGGCTTTGGTTGATTTTGTTACGTGCATGCATGTGACCTGTGTGTTTGTACGCTTTGTTCAGGTGGCGGAGGCCAAGCTGGAGGCAGCCCATAACCGCAGGCATTACAGAGCAGCCATGCTGGAACTCAGCGAGATCAAGAAAGATCTGCAGGCCAAAGAGGAGCTCATCAAAACCCTGCAGAAAGAGGCTAAAACACTTGAGTAAGTCTGTGTTTTCTTGGCACTCTGAGCTATAGGATCACAGCTGCTTCTGAAACTCATAATACAGAAGTACTGTCACTCTTCAAGAGACCTTCACGAGGCCCAGCTATTCTACAGCCATGAACTGATGGTTGTGAGCTAACATGGAGAAAGAGGGAAACTATAAATGCAGTGTTGGAGATCAGTGCCTAAACTGCTTTATTAAAGGGATAGTTCACCCAAAAATGAAAATTTATATCTGCTTACCCCCAGGGCATCCAAGATGTCGGTGACTTTGTTTCTTCAGTAGAACACAAACGAAGATTTTTAACTCAAACCGTCGCAGTCTGTCAGTCATATCTGCCGTAAAGCAAGAAGAAGACGCGTCACGCGCCGGCTGTCGAGGACGCGCTCAGGACAGTTCGGACATTGTGGTGAATCAGAGGTAAAAAACTATATAAATACTGTTCAGTTTCTTGCACAGACCGATCGTTTCGTGTCTTTACACATCAATGTATCGTCACGAGCCGCAGGGTTTAATTTGGTTTTGTTTGTGTATGTTTTTTTGACTCTCAAAGCCGTGATTCCCATTCACTTCCATTATAAGACTGACAGACTGCAACGGTTTGAGTTAAAAATCTTCGTTTGTGTTCTACTGAAGAAACAAAGTCACCTACATCTTGGATGCCCTGGGGGTAAGCAGATAAACATCAAATTTTCATTTTTGGGTGAACTATCCCTTTAACTTCTCTGATTTATGATTTATTAACTTCTCTGGGTACTCTAAAGAGCAGATGTTTGTGACTTCTTCTCCGATTGTGTCGGTGTGTTTTGTGAGAGATTTTTCTCTCTTTGACAGGGCTCAAGATGAGAAGCACTCCGAAGAGGTTTCTCATTTCCAAGAGGAATTAGCTGATGCTCACGCTCAACTCCAGATCCTTCAAAAACAACTTGATGATGAGCTCAGCAAACAGCCCCTCACTAACCAAGAGGTACAGCACAAACCTAATCAACTGCCTCACTGTTTAAATCTTTACACTCTCGCAATATAACACCTGTTATGCATTAAATTGCTATCTAGGTAAGCAGGTTGCAAGGTTTAAGAGCCTGAACCCAGCTCTAATCTGCTAAATGCAAATATTATGAGATATTTAAAACATTATGATGATTTTCTATTAAACGCTATATAAATCGACTTGACATTTTCTTAAAAATGTGCAAAAATTGTATCTTATTTAACCCTGAAAGATTCATAGTAGTACCTCAAGGGTACATGTTACTGATCTGAAGTACTAATATGCAACTTTTAGGGGTAGATAAGTACAAAATTGTGCCTAGAGAAGCTGTTGTACCCTTGCGAGTACAGTTTTTGCACACGTTTTTTTTTTCTGACAGTGAAATCAATAAATGACCTACCACAAGTTAGTTTCATCTATGAAAAGCTTTGAATGCTTTATTGAAGCGTTGTGATATCTGTATGGAGAATTGTGACCACCCCTCATTCTCCTTCAGAATCACTATATACCATGAATGCTGTGTTCCTGTCTCCCTGCAGGTGGAGGATCTGAAGTGGGAGGTGGAGCAGAGGCAGCGGGAGATCGAGACTCAGAAACAGCAGCTGGAGATGGTGGAACAGTGTCACCAGAGAGAGATGGACACCCTACAGGACACTCTACAGGTCGGATACGCTAGTCAGCTTCTGTTGTCAGAACATGTATTATGGTTCTTTTCTTCTGAATGTTGGGCTTTTCGGTTTGATGTGATCTGTAGAGGATAAAGGTGGAGCTGGAGATGGTGCAGGAAGAGCTCAATGGCACACGGAAGGATAAATTCATGCTGCAGGCTAAAGTGGGAGAGCTGAGGAACAGCATGAAGACTGTTCTTCAGCAGAACAACCAGCTCAAACAGGACCTCAAAAACGGCAGGCTCAGAAAGGTAAGACTAATGCTCATTTGAAAAACCGAAAACGTGGACGTTTGTAAGTGTGATAATTCAATATTTTCTCTCTTTATTTCTGTCCGCACACCAGCGGATGGATTTAAAGGGGGACTCGACCCCAGTGACTCCAGTAAAAATCCCAGACTGCCCCGTTCCTGCTTCACTTTTGGACGAACTGTTGAAACCCTCAGCATCCGTCAATAAAGAACCTCTCAATAACCTCCACAACTGTCTGAAACAGCTAAAGTAAGACTTGCAAACATCTTACCATACCTTTCTATGTGAAAACTAGGGGAGAGTGGGCACATGGTAACATTGTGCCACTATTAGAACAAGTTAACCTGTTTATTTCCCTATTATGAATATCTTCTATTTGCCTACATTGATTTGGCCTATATAGTGGCTTTGAGTATTCATTTTCAAGCTACAGAATTAGTTCATTTATTAAATGCACTACTATTCAGTAACAATTTTTTTTTTTACATTAATTCTTTTATTCAAGCAAGAATGCATGAAATTTAGCAAAATTAAAAGTGAAGAGGTAATGTTACAAATGATTCTTGTTTCAAATAAATGCTGTTCTTTTGAACATTCTATTCGTCTTAAAGTGCCCCTATTATGGGTAATGAAAGGTTCATATTTTGGGTTTGGGAGTCCCCAACAACAGGTTGACATGCATGCAAGGTCAAAAAACGCTTTCATTGTCTTATAATATGCATTTATTTTTACCTTACTTGCTCAACGACTCCCAAACGATTCGTTTAACGATTCATTTTTCCAAACCCCTCCTTTGCGTGACGCTAATCGGCGGTGATTGGTCGATTGGTCTCATTTTCATTTCATCTTGCCTGTAATGCCTGATAAAGCAGCGTTTGTGAGCGCAGTGCTGCTTTGTTTACAGCCGTTACCAGGGAAACAGCTATTTTACAGCTCCAACAGCGGCACCTAGTGGCAAAGAATGAATTGGCATTTTTATTCAGACCAATGAGAAAAAAACAACAAGTGGGCGGGCAATATGCTAATGTTTCATTTTGACATCAACATAAAACTGCTTGGGATTCGTTTTAAAAACGACTCGTTTCAGGATTAAAAAATTTGCAGGACACACTGCATGAAAGGTAATTTTCAAAAATCCATAACAGGGGCACTTTAAAAACCTGAAATAATTCTATCATGCTTTCAAAAAAAGAATTAAATGGCACACACGTTTTTAACATATTATAACATGATTAACAGGAACTAATTCTTGAGCACCAAATCTGTATATTAGAATGATTTCTGAAGCATGTGGCACCTAAGACTTAAGACACTTACGATAAAATTCTTAATCAGATATGAGCATTGTTGCAATATGCCCTTTCTGAGTAGATGAAACTATTCATTGTATTCCCGAAAAAACACCAGAAAATCCAGTTACACAAACCTGCTCTCCCCTGCCTCCCTTTTCATATAAATAAAGCTACCACATAACAGATGGCATTCCTTTCTCACTCATCTGATGGTCATTTCTCGTAGGCAGGAGATGGACAGCCTTCAGAAGCAGATGGAGGAACACACGGTCACAGTGACGTCGTTGGCCAGTGCAGAGGAGGAGCTCCAAAAACTGGGGCTTCATGACAACAGTAGCAACGACTCACCTGATAAAGAAGAGAACGATAAGATACAGGGAGAGATGCAGCCCTCGTAATACACAAAGTATCCACAAAGAAAGTTCCGTTTTATCTCTATGGGCACTTTTACGTTTCTTTCTTTATTTCTTATCAACTGCCAATATTTGGCTTTATCCCTTCCTAACCAAGATTGTTCAGGTGAAACCAACCACAGCTTTATTTTCGGGGGTCACTTTGGTGTTTGTTTGTGTTGTAATCATTTTTTATTTTCACATTGAACGTATAGAGCTGCTCTCTCCGTCTAGCTGTTCTGTTTATCTCGCTTGTAGTTTCACAGTAGTCGCCCACTACTCAGCTTTGATATTGTTTTCTTTCTCATCTCATAAGAGGTTTGTGAGGGCTACTGCTAGGCTGCTTAGTCCTGCAGAAGTGGAAAAAACACACACACACACACAAATGTGATCTACAACAAGCATCCAGGGCACCAGACTCCAGTGTTGTAGTAACTAGTGACCTATCGACCTGATTGGTCAGATATATATCCTATATATCTCACAGCTGAACTGTTCTTCCAATCCTCTGTGCCTGTGAATGAGCTGACCTCTCATTCCATCACTGCACAGATGCCTGATCTAGAGCTGTTCCCTGCAATATAATGCAAATATTATCTACTAAACCATACGAGGCCCCATATCAACCACGCATTTTAGAGCACAGATTCCCCCCAAAACAGAGCGTTCTTAGTTTTCCCAGGCCTCAGATCACGTCTAAAGCGATGCTGACAACTTCCTGTCTACATACACACTGTGTACTGCTTTACCCACAAGTCTCAGAGTTCAGATCCACTGTTCTTTGTGGGGACCTTAAGGATGCGCTTACAATATTATACATCGCACTACGGCCTCTTTCTGATTGAAACTCAGGACCTGAAGCCCCAGGAATGTACGTGTGAGACTGGGAGAAAGTATAGTAGCCCATTTGTTCGGGGTAATATATATTAATAGATCAGATCATCCAATATCAGCTAGTTATCTGGGTTTTGTCTACGGTTTACAGATGTGAGATCTCATAGAAAAGGTCTGTCAGAATTTGACTAGTTCTGTTTAGGGCTGCGCCTTAAAATGAATCCAATAAGGAAACCTTTAAATACTGCTAAAAATGTATAGCTTGAATGAAGTTTTTCTGTTGAGAGATCTTGGGAAATAATGTAAAATAGGTTGAATGTGCTCTCAGAAGCGCTGTTTACTATGTTCACTTATTTAAAAACATTTTCACTTCCTAAAAAATTCTCATGGATAGTTTGTCATTACAGCCTTAATTATTGAAAATGTGTGCAAATATATTTTGAATAATGTATTTTAATTAGGTGTAATATTTCTCTCTTTCCCCTGATGTCTTTATTGTGTCTGTGGAGCTGGACTTAACCATGTAATTGGCTTGAACTGTTTTAAGTGTGTTCTGAGATGAAGACATTGATCTCCATGTATAGCTAATAACCTTTAGACTGCTTTAAATGATTAAGACATAATGGGAAATGAAGCTTTACACACTAACATGTACATTTATCTTCAAAGGATTAATACATATTCAGTGAAAGGGAGGGAACTGTTTTTAATTAACTTACTGCGTGTTAATTACTGTACTGACTAAAAGCACGAGTTTCTGTTCAGTGTTTATAAATAAGAAAAAAGTTTGACTTTTAATTCTTTGCTTGCTCTGCATTTTTATGGGATGTGCCATATTGAGTGTAAAATATAAATCATTCTGTAAAATGATCACATCTTGTCTTTTGTTCCTATTTAATGTTCTTTAGATGATGATGTTTATTATGTTATTATAGCAGATACTGTTGCTAGAAGACACATTCTGCTTTTTATTTAACTGGTAAAATGTACACTAAAAAACATTTTTTTATTTTACCGTAAATTAAAATTTACGGTAAAAAAACGGCAGCTGTGGTTGCCAGAATTTTACCGTAAAAAATACGGTAGCAACATTTTAGGTTTTACGGTTTTAACTTACATTTACAGTAAAATACCGTAATTTCATTAACTGATATAATGTTAATATACCAACCTACTGAAGTACTGAAATCTGTTTTGTACCCTTGTGTAATACCTGATAACCACCAAATGCAGGTGGTGATGAGAAAGTCACATGATGAACCAAAGCCCATCACAAGCAGCTTTTAAATACTAACATATATAGAAGGTGCACAGTGTCATTCACACAAACACTAAACACCATCACGGTAACCCACATGACACTGAAATAATGCAATAAACATTCATTTAACAGCATTAGGTGTAACAACCGTAATATACAAAACTGATAAGAAAAACCTAAGAAGAAACAGTTATTTCAACAAAAAAACATCACATTTGAAATGCAACGCAGGGAATTCTGGGAATGTCAATTTACGGTTATTCACTGTAAATTATACGGTCTTTTTCACTTTCAAAAACGGTATACTACCGTAAAATTAATGTCCAATACATGTAATGTCCAATACAGTTTTTCACCGTATATAGTAGGGGAATTTACCGTTAACCATTTAACAGGTTTGTACTGTAGCATTTTTACAGTCTTTTACCGTTAAATTCACTGTCATTTTTTACAGTGATCTCATTTAAGCTTTATACAGTAATATAAGCTAAATAGGTTGCACTTTATTTTGTTACAGTGTAATTATACAGTTAAGTACTGAATAATATAAATTAACTTCATGCACTTACAGTATGCTTAGGTTTACTTGGGTTTTAATTTATTGTTAATATAATAGTAAGCACCTTTAACACCGACACCTTTTTATGAATTTTCATTAATGACTGTTTTACACAATTTAGATTAAAATGGATAAATACAATTGATAATGGCATGACAACTGGGGCTTGTTTCATAAAACAAGTTTACCAAACAAGCCAGGCTTATATCAGTTAGTCTGACTTATTTTGAACCAAATGAACTGACAATACATCAGACTAACTGAAATAAATCTGGCTTTAGTTGGTAAACTTGTTTTATGAAACAGGCTCCTAGAAGGCACTTGCCAAATTAAACATAATAACGTGAAACAATACAGCACACTGCAGTTTAAATGTTTATCGTTACATACTGTGTACTGCTTCACAAGCATTTGTTTGTGATCAACTTTTTAATCATTTTAATGTTCACGTAATTTAATAAATACACAAGTCAGCCACTAGGCAGCGCTGCTAAAACCCAAACGAGCAAAGACGCATCGAGCAAGAGAGACTTCCGGGAGGCGCACTTTGCTCCAGTGTTGCCAAGTCCGCGAAGACTTGGGATAATTTAACACTGTTGTCGCGGGTTGTTATCCGCGGGTTGAAGCCACCCCAATAACGCATGCGAATTTTACCGGAGGGACCCAGCCAAGAAACGTGTATTTTACCCCCTAGCAACGCGATTTTTATTTATTTATTTTTTACCCCTCGAAACGCGATTGGGTTAGTTTTGAGTAACAACTGGGCGGGTTTTGTTGCGAAAACCTGGCAACCCTGCTTTGCTCAGACGTTAACTTGAAACAACTAGCGAGATCTCTGTGAGCCCCATATTTTCATGTGTACATGATTATAGCTGTTTTCGTGCAGAAAGAGCCATTATCGAGGGCGAGATAGTTTCTGTTTTGCTGCAATAAGTGTCAGTAGGCATGGCTGTATGGAAACTAAGCATGTAAGTTAACGTAAGGAGTTCTTGGTGTGCAGCCCATCTCCACCTGCAGCCTTCATACATTTGCAGACAGAAGCAGAGGTAACGTTAATATCTAGATTCTCTTCTCTGGCTGAGTTTTTGACAATATTTGGCCGAGATAAATCTGAGGGTGCCAAAAAATCTAAATATTGAGAAAATCGCCTTTAAAGTTGTCCAAATGAAGTTCTTAGCAATGCATATTACTAATCAAAAATTAAGTTTTGATATATTTACAGTAGGAAATTTACTAAATATCTTCATGGAACATGATCTTTACTTAATATCCTAATGATTTTTGGCATAAAAGAAAAATCGATCATTTTGACCCATACAATGTATTGTTTATCAGGTGAAGCTATTGCTACAAATATGCTCGTGCTACTTTGGTTTTGTGGTCCAGGGTCACATATTTCTTTCTGTGGGGCAAAATATGAAGAGTTCAGATGCAAAAGCCTCTAAGCGCCATCTGAAATTTTCATCTAAAATTAGCATTTTTATCAGGCTCCTATGTTTAGGTTGAGTAATCTTACTCTAATGGCAATGTATAGGTCCTTTTCTATGCAATAAAAGTGAAATAACTGAACATAAATCTAGGAGCCTGATAAAACTGCTCATTTTAGAAGAAAATGTTAGACGGCACTTAGAGGCTTTTGCATCTGAACTCTTTAAATGTAAAATATTTCAGGGTAATCATTACCAAATATAGTTTGTGTTTATCTTTCCTACATTTCTGCAAATACTGATCTGCAAGGACATAAGTGGAGACGTATATTAGAAGCTTGCGTTCTGCAAGTGAACGGCACTTTATTGTGCATCCCAAAGAAGCACAGAGTCACTCTCACAGACTTTTACATTAAATGTTCCCTCCTGGTGGAATGACCTGCCCAACTCAATCTGAGCAGCATCTTCAAGAAATGACTAAAAACACATCTCTTCCATCTTTATTTGACCCTCTAACTCTAGCACTCTCTATTCTAATTCTATTCTTAAAGAAAAAAAAAACTTGTCCCTTTTAGACTTGCACTCTAGGCTAAAACACATATCTTCCATCTTTATTTGACCCTCTAACTCTAGCACTCTCTATTCTAATTCTATTCTTAAAGAAAAAAAAAACTTGTCCCTTTTAGACTTGCACTCTATTCATTTACTAACTGCTTGTTGTGTTAAAAAAAACTAACTAGCTTCTCTATTCTTTTTGTGTTTTATCTATTTGTTTTCTTTTTATTATAAAATTAACAAAAAGCAACAAAAAAAAAAAGGCCTCTAACACAAGCTTGCTCTATTCTTTTTCCTTTCATTAAAGGGGTCATATGATGCTTTTTTTAAAGATCATTGTTTTGTGTATTTGGTGTAACAGAATGGGGGCGTGTTAGAACGAGCCGTTTTAGGGGGGTGTGGCAGAGTCTTAACTTTGATAAAGAATATCTCTTTGGGTTTGAGACTTTAGTCTTTGCAACTTCAGGGATCTTATCTATTCACGAACAGCTTGTAACACTCCAAAGAGAAAGGAAAACTTGAAATCGCATCATATGACCCCTTTAAAAAACCCTAACAGACTTGTCATAGCACTTGCATATCAATGCTCTTTTGTTGATTTTGATTGCTTCCATTGTCATTTGTAAGTCGCTTTGGATAAAAGTGTCTGCTAAATGTAAATGCATCTCTAATTTTGTGTATAATACTTGGATAATGTACCATTTTCCACCCCAAAAAGAGTTGAATTTGTGAACGAATCATTCAGATCTCTTTCGTGAACCGGTTCAGTCGATTCACTGAAAAGATCCGATGCACCCGGCGTCTGAAGCACATGAACCCTGCCTGGCGCAGTGAGCATCGCAGACCGTTCCACGCGCATGCGCAGACCGAGCTGTAAACAGCGCGACCCTTCCAGAGCGTCCGCGCGATTCACACTCATATAAACGTTTAATAAATCACACATGCACACGAGTTTCCATCGCGCTCGGCGTCACTGTTCAGCTGATAGATGGTAAGTGGTGCAGAAATGACGGGTGACATTTAAATCTCCCGTGTTTTGATATATCATCTCTATTATTCAGGATCATGGAATATACAGACAAAAACTACAATGGATTGTAGTTCGGGCGTGACGCCTCGGTTTCAATAAACTTTTTACATGTTGCAGATGCATGCTTGCCTCACAGGGGCATATATAAAAATTATTTATAATTTTTATATATAAAATTATTTATATATATATTTTGTCATACTGAGAGAACTTTGGGTTCGTGTTGATTGGAAAAAACGACGGACAGTGCCTGCTTAAATACATAACTAATAAAGTAAGGGATGTCCTTTTAAACTACCACCAAAGTTGCATTAGATATAGATACAGATTGCTGTTTTTGTGATTCCTCTAGTGAAAATGCAATTCGTGTTTTTTTGGGATTGTCCTTATACAAAATTATTTTGTATTGGTTTTTTGTTGTTTATTAACCAAATTTGCTTAGGGGTTTCTCAGTGCTGTTAAAACCACGTGTTTGGTTTCTAAAACCTAAACAACAAAAAGAATGAGTATTTTATTGTTAATCTTTTATTGCTCTTTGCCACATTTCACATGCAAAAATTCAATCTTCAAAAGCTCATTTTTGTTGTTATAAAAAACGATATCAAGCAATATATCCAAGCTATTTCTTCATCAAAGAACTCCAAAGGTCTCAAGACAGTGAACCTGTGCTTCCCTCTTAATTTATATGGTTAAATGATGCAATTTTTTTCAATGTCATATCTCGTCATTTTATATATGTGTATCAATTTTTATTTGTAATGTTACATTTTTATAATGTTTCATATTTATTTTATAATTGGTGCTTTTCATTCCTAGTGATGTGTACTATATTAAGTCTGTACATTTGCATTTGTTCTTCATGTGTATTTTTTTTGTGATGCCTTGACAATAAAAAAGGAAGTATGTTGTTTCTGAAAAGCACCAGTAGTGCGGCAGAACATGTAAAGTGCCCTACCTGTTTTATACTACGTTTGTTACCAGTCCCAGCTGATGCTGTTATCAGCATGAGACATGTGGGGGTTTTGCCCGATTATACTCCCTTTTCTGCTTTCATATCAATTTCTGTTTGTATTTTTTTGCTGATCAGGTAGCCGTAGCAGCAGAAGCATGGACGCTGTCCTGAGCAGGTTGAAAGGTCTCACTGCTGACGAGTTGAGGGAGGAGATCATTAAAGCCAACTTGAAATGTGGCCCCATCACCGCCACGACAAGAGCTATATTTGAGCGTAAGCTTGCCAGGACTCTGGTGGAGAACGCTGGACTTACCGAGCCCGACAGCAGCGGTGGTAACAGTGCCTCGTTGGACAGCTCTGGGAGTGTAGTGCCACCCTGTGCCACATCAGCAACCCAAGATTCGGTCACAGGTGAGGATGGGGATTTTGGGTACGGCATGGGCCTTAACCCACCTGAGGAGGAGGCTCTGAGTGGAACGGTGTGCCCTTGTAATGTGGAGAATTCACAGTCGGAGACACAGACTACCTCGAAAACCGCACAGGGGTCGCCCACCTTTTTCTACGGAGTGTGTCCATTGTGGGAGGATGTGCTGGCTAGGAATGGTAAGAGTTTTTACCTCTACTTTAGACACCTGGTACAAGACTGAGAATTTTTGTGTAAAGTGATGTACACTAGTGTTAAACAGTTTAAGGTCGGTAAGATTTTTAAAGGGGTCATATGATGCGATTTCAATTTTTCCTTTGTCTTTGGAGTGTTACAAGCTCTTGGTGCATAAAGAAGATCTGTAAAGTTGCAAAGACTAAAGTCTCAAATCCAAAGAGATATTCTTTATAAAAGTTAAGAGTTAACCACACCTACATAAAACGGCTCGTTCTAACACGCCCCCACATATCTACCTCACTATGTGGGAAGATTTGCATAACGCCGCCCAAATGTTCACGCAAAGAAAGAAGGCGTAACTTTTATTCTCGCTGTAGTATTGTTGATGCCGCCATGTCGTGAAGACGCTGTGTGCTTCGTTGTGAAAGCGAAACTACTTTGTTTGGTCTTCCAAAAGAGGACGATATCTGCTTCGTCATGCCTGGAGCTGATCAGTGCTGGTTGCTGAGGAAATACAACAACTTTGCGCTGTGGATCGCCAGATCGGCTTTCACAGTGGACGAAGCGGAGTCCAGCCCGGGGTCGTCACATGTGGTTGCCGCTCATTCGTCGGATCCGCCGGGGCGCGCCGTTCTCGACCCCGCCGCCTCAGCTCACTCTAACCTGGCCTCAGCTCACTCTATCCCGGCCTCAGCGCACGCTAAGCCGGGGCTTCCCCTCACGCTAGGCCGCTGTGTTTTTCGTTGTGAAAGCGAAACTACTTTGTTTGGTCTTCCAAAAGAGGAC